AATACTTTAGCTAAATTTAGCTAGCATGTTATGATCTTCACTGCACCGTTCTAGTTCTTGGCCATTTACCTGTTAACTTACAGAAAACTATATTTACAGTGGCATATGTTTGTTGTGTATGGTCATATTAGGCCGTTTTGCTTGTGTTGTGGAAAACTCTCAATCATGTGAATGTAAGCATTGTTCCCCCCGGATTAGCTACTGTACAAAGAGCGTTTGAAATAAAAGTGCATCGTAGCCTGAAGTGTTGTAAGCAAAAAGATCAATTACTCAAAAACAGTACCTTAGATGAACTTTGTTTTAAATTCATTGGGAGAAAACAAAATCCTGCAAGAGCACTACAAAAGAAATGATCAAATCTGCGGGGTTAAAACAAATGAACGCAGTCTGGGCAACATATGGCATTTATTAGCTATACCATACCTATTTTAGCAAACAAAAATGTGAATTATGATTTCCAAAGCATTTGTTTCTATAATGTGATGTACTTCTGTGAAATAATTGGTGTTATAAAGCGTGACCAAATGCTGCCCCCAAACCTGTGTGGCTAAGTGAAATCAGTGGGGGGAAAGTTTGTTTTTTAAAAAGAGGAAGTTATTACTGTAAGGTTGTGTTTCAATCGATTCCAATTCTGGAATAGAATACTTCAGGTCAGGAATGGATACTTTTCGATTCCTCTTATCGATTCCTTTGTGTGCATTTTAATATGACTTCAAACCATTCAAGCACAAGAAGACCTTGTTTTTACACATCCAAAACGTGTGCGCAGAAAGTCGACTCTCATACCGAATAATGTGTGATACTGAATCTTTTTGCACTTGAACGGTCAAATACACACAAAACAAATTCAAAATATCTCCGTAAACACAGTCGATTATGTCTTAAAGGGATACTCCACTTTTTTTAGAAAATAGGCTCATTTTACCACTCACCCAGAGTTAAACGGTTGAGTTTTACCGTTTTTGAACGTATTCAGACGATTTTCTGATATTTAGAAGAATATCAGTAACCAGTTCGTCTCATTGACTTCCATAGTATTTTTTTTTTCCTACTATGGAAGTCAATGAGACCAGAAACTGTCTGGTTACTGATATTCTTCAAAATATCAAAAAAAAAAAAAAAAAAAATCGGCTGAATGGATTTGAAAACGGTAAAACTCAACTATTTACCTCTGGGGGAGTGGTAAAATGAGTCTATTTCCAAAAAAGTGGAGTATCCCTTTAAGCGAACATAAACAGTTGAAAAATTAAAACACATTAGTATACTGGATCCGTACAGCTCTTAAAGTGACAGTAGCCTAATATTGCTGCTGCCGTCTCTATAATACCGTCAATAAATCAACAAAAGACAGAGAAAATTCACTCGCTGTTCTTGACTGAATAACTTTTGTAACTAACTATATTGTTAATGTATATCTTATTTATAAAGTGCGATGTTATTTTATATTTGATTCAGCTGTTTATTTCAATCGTATATTAGTAGTATATGCGTGTTTGCGAATTTGTTTATTTGTTCTGTTTTAATTACTGAGCATTTGTCTTTAATTATGCATAAATTGTATATTAGTAAAGTTGTTTTTGCTATGGTATCTTTAAACCATATAGGCAAAAGTTCCTCGTGTAAGTGTTCTTTAGCCTGTTAATGTTTGTTCATGGTATTCAGCTGAAATATTTTGCAACAAGAATAAATGTGAATGATATCTAAATTGGAATTGAAAGTAGAATCGAATAAGAATTGAAATAGTTAAAATTCAAACGATACCCAACCCTATATTGATCAGGAAAACAACTATTAGTAGTTAGTAGACCACCAAAGTATATAAAAAAAATGTACATTAAGTTATCGAAATGACTCATAATTATTACATTTCCTATTCATTTAATTGATACACACATACAGTAAATGTGTCAATACACTATGAAGCTGCAATATGCATGAGGTGACATAACAGAGCTATCACCTTACACCCTGATTCGCACGCCAATGACAATGTAAGTTCAGTGACTGGATCTTATTTCACTGTGCAAGGGAAGGAAGTGAGCCGAACCTTAGAAGTGTAATTGTTATGATCTGCTCCAATATCACATACAAATAATGTGACTGACACAGACAAAAAGCTGCTATCATTAAAAGTTGGACTTCAGTGGTTTTAATATAGACAAACTGATAAGGATTTATATGGTATACACTTCCTCTTTTGCAATCGGTGAATCTCAGTATGCACAAACAGACTATTCTGTGTCTCTTAAGGTCATATATGAAGAGTTTTCCAAAACAATGGCTGTCAACAGATGCCAAGGATCATGGAAAATTGATCAAATATTTACCTAACTTTTTTTTTTTTTAACTTCTCTCTCTCCTTCTAATCAAATACAATCCAAAGTGGTTAACTGATTAAATGGACCCTGAACTGCATCTTGGCAAGCACACACACACAAAGCTGCTCCTGCGCTATAACATCCTGTAAAATTAACATTAACATACTTTGCTAGATTCTGGTTATAACAGTTTGACATTATGGGAGCTATTTTCATGTTAGTTTATAACTGAATATTTCATGAACTAACATACGTTAACTACACACATCTGCTTTGTACTTTCAATTAGACTGATATCTAACATAATGAAACAGGTGGAAAACAGAAGACCATATGATGAATTAAAGTTTACCAAAACTGACCTTTCTATGAACTATGACTAATGTAGAGCACTATCATACAAAACAAAACATGGGGAACTAAACAACATTAAATGTAATTTATACATAACCGATAACTAAAATAATAAGAACCAATAATATTCAATTAAATTGTTGTTTAATAATAATTTTAATGATTAGTCCCATGTTTTTTTGTTGTTGTTTTTTTAAAGTATTTTATGCTCACCAAGGCTGTATACAAAAGAGTAAAAAAAATCTGATGGCAAAGCTGTATTTTCAGCATCGTTATTCCAGTCTTCGGTGTTTATACAGTCAATATTATACAGAGTTATCATTCTGATAATAGCTCAATTGTGTGTGTTGTGCATCTCATTAAGTTGCACAAAGCAGCAGCACAAACCTACAGTTACATGTTATCTAGTTTCAAGAGGCTTTGGATTTGTCAACTCGCCAGCTGACTGATATTAACACTCCAATTTACTGAAAACCATGAACTGTACAGAAAAACTCCAGCTGTACAAACATATATGTTTTTGCTGAAGAACGTCAAACTGTGACAGGTTAGCTGACTCTTTCACACCAGGCTTGATGCTCTTTTATCTTCCCGAGAATACACTTAATAAATGTGCACAGTGAAATTGATTCAGTTTCAGGCCTTTTATTTGTCAGTCTATTGATTTATGTGCAGTCATGTGACCAAGTACCGAGAATAATAAAGTCAGATTAGGTTGTGTGGGAAAGGTGGTTTATCCCATGGACTTAAATGGCAATGATAATTACCTATTAATTGTTATTTAAGTGAAATTACTGAACTTAAATATACTAGTTTGATAAAAATCATCATTAAAGAAGAAAATTTCAAATGGCATTTAGAGGCTTTTGCATCTGAACTCTTCATATTATTATCATTGCCATGTGTGGATGGGAAATTAGTTCTGTAGGTAATCAAACATGAAACAGATCTCGCAAGAGGCAATTTTGAAACCACTGCCAATATTGACAGATGTATTGATTGGATAAAAAGTGTGATAGAAGTGATCCATCGAGCAATCAGAGAGAAAGAGGGATGCTTGCTATTCGTGATGGACTGTGTTATCCGGTATTTTCTTTTGAATTCATAGTACAACCACACATAATCATGGATGTACTATGAATTCCAATGACCAATAACTGGTAAATTTGTCCATCACACACACACATATATATATATATATATATATATATATATATATATAAACATACATGCATACACACACAAACATATATATATATATATATATATATATATATATATATACACACACACACACACATATATATATATATATATATATATATATATATATATATATATATATATATATATAACATACATACATACACACACACAAACATATATATATATATATATATATATATGCCTCATTAACACGGTCTCATTCAAAGTCATAACTAGTCAGGCAAAATGTTACAAGGTGTAATGCTAGTGTTGAATATTTTGATGAAGTCAAAGAAACTTATTCAAATATGAAAGGAAAATATGAGGGTTTTTTTTTTTAATTACAGGGTTTTTTTCTTCCCTGCATAATTAACTGGAATCCCAAAGAACAAAACATAAAAGCCAAACTCAATAAAACATAGTTTAACTTGGGTGTATGTGTCTTTCCAGTTGAGGAAGAGTGGGGTTTTGTGGCCCAGTGTGTGTGTGTGTGTGTGTGTGATATTACTTTATACAGTGTTAATTCAAAACAATGCTCAAAGAATATCACAGTGAAGTTTGTAGTCCACCAGAAAAGCAAGCAATATTTATACCTTGCTGAAGAATACTGAAATAATAGTTTTTGTTGTTTTTTTGACACAAGCCTCAATCCGCCAGAGCATATGGTCTTCTAAAGAGGCCTCTCTGCCAGTACTAGAGTTCAGATCTGGGCAAAGTGAGGACAGAGCACACACACACACACACACACACACTGGATACAAGCCCTTTGCCTCTCAAAAGGCAGCAGGCAGCCAGTGTTCACAACAGCAGCTCTACCATTCCTCTCTCTTTCCCCTTCTCTCAAACAAAAACAACCACAATACCACAGCACAAAAATAACAGACTTACTCGAAAGAAGATTTAAAATAAAGAGAGATCATAAAAATAGCTTCCACTAACTGCCAACATCTTTATAACAGTCTAACAGCAATTGAATTATCTACAGTACAAAATAAACAAAGCCAGGAATCAGGGAGACAGGCTAATTTTTCAACAACTAGTGAGAGAAAATGAGTTCTTTCAGTGGACTGAGATCTTGTGAATGAATGGAGCTTCATCGCTGTGTTTGTGTTTTATTGGCAGGGAGCCTGATATACCAGCCTGGGCACCTCTCCTGTATCAGCTGCAACTCCTAGACTTCAGAGAAAAGCAAGACCCCCTTTCACTGCCCATCCCCGACCGGATCCGAATCGGCAACCAGAAACGCGAGCGAGGCAACTTCTACTTCCAGAGGGAAGAGTACAGCATGGCATCACAGGCTTACTGCATGGCTTTAGATGTGCTTACGACACGCACACAGGGTAATTCACAGCACAGCGGCCTTCAAACACCTATGTCACATAATGCATTAATCAGAAACAAGCCAGTATATGGAGAAACATAAAAAATCCTTTATAAAACTGATTGTGTTATAGAATCATTATATTTATTTCTAATATTATACATTTATATTATTGAATTATTTGATTTAGCATTTTAACAATAGAAAATGTATTGCATATTATTACTATAAAAAACTAACTTTTAATTAGAAATACCATAAGTAAACCCATCCTAAAACACACCATATCATTTTTCTATCAGCTTCATGGCATCTAATAAACCATTCAATGGTGATGGAGAAACCCCCTGTAATAGCTCTCAATCTAGCCAGTTCTAGCAGCTCAGCTAATCTATTTGATCAATAATCATGTCATCGGAATGCTCAGTCATGTCTGCAAGCTGTGGCCACCCTGAGAAACGCTCTTATTAAACCCTACGCTAATCAAACGTAATAAATCTACATGTTATTTCCACCTCCTTAATCATGGTAATTGCTGGAAAGCCTGGCCCATCTTAACAGGAACGTTTGACAGTAATGAGACAGTAAAGTGCAAAGCACCGCTCTGGGTTAGACGCTGATAATGACCATATATGCAGAAGTGATCTCCACATCGCCACAGTCTCCGCTGACCACTCAAGCATCACATATTACACTCTCTTTCATTTTATACATAATATTTTTCTACATTCACATACATATCCCACCAAGCAGAAATTTTATAAATTATTTCGGGAAAAGATTATGTGGAAGAAGACAGTACGTCACTCGGATATCCATAAAATTACTGTTGGCAACATGTTTTCCACAATCAGCAATCGCATTTCATCAATCAATACTATATTTATGCAGTATCACATGGCCATTTACACAGAACGTATTTTGATCTTAGCCTCTGAGCAACAAACACTAGAGGTGTTTCATTCCTAAATTAATCAGTGTCATTAAACGAATCAGTTAAGTGATTGATTCAATGACTCACTCATAAAGAAGCTCACTTTTATTCCTGAATAAGGGGTACGATTACACGACAACAATATGCTTAAAACGGATACATTTTCCTTTGTGTCTTCCGCGTAGAGACGACACCATCAAAATGATTCCCATTCACACAGATCCACAAAAACAACTAAAAACGCTTTATTTTGCTGCCAGGCCATTAGATGGCCATGAAACACTATAGACTGAACATCGTCTTCAGAGATTCACGTTTTTGCTGTTTACACAGAGACCGTTTTCAAAAACTTGCACGTTTTCAAAACTTAGCGTTTTCAGGGACCCAAAATGCCGTTGTCGAGTAAACGAACGGCCAAAGCGCATAAAAAGTTTTACGTTTTTAGTTGTAAACGGTGTCGTGTAAACATTGTTTAATGAATGAGTGAATGATAAAGTCCCTTGTCGCCACCTACTGGTGCAATAATATAAGCTGCAGAAAGGGTCAATGAAAAATCTCCACCACTATGCACTGGCTAACGGTCTCCCTGGAACAAAGAGCCAAAAGTTACGATGTGAAAAACAAAGCTTTTCAAAACTCAAAAGCTTGTACCAATTGCTTTGCAAAATGTGTCTCTGGTTGAGTCACCTGCTGGTAAGAACCGTTTAAAAGCAATGAAAACTCAGCCCAAACCTGCCTAAAAACACCTTTAATCAAAACTTGAAAATGTTTTATTGAAAACAAAGTCTATTATATAGAAAATTTAAATGTTATGTATAATGTATGTAAATATATGTATAATGTGTTATTTTATGAAATTGTAGGGCTTGTTTTAGTTTTTTTTTATGGAAGGTTTGGTTAATCAGGCCAATAAGAGACTAATAACTACAAATTTGGCTTTTAATTATACAATTTAATCATCTGAAAATGCATAAAACTGTTCCTAGGGCAGGTAAAAACCAGATAGAAACTATTCCATGGGTCCAGAGAGAACTTAAATCATGACTTTGGCAGTTTGATATGCATTCCGAAACAATGATTTCAAAGCTTTCGAAGCTTTATAAAGCAGTGTTTCAAATCACTAGTGAAAGTCCCAGTGCTGTTGGACTGAACACTGCTTGACCAATCAGATTCTACTGTAGTTTACGCTGGATTGATCAATATCAAACAAACATTTTTGATTGTTTATCATTTCCTCTAAATGAATGGCTGGTGTTACGCATTAATACAGATGGTCTGTCCATTTGTATCCTCCTACAGACGGTCAAAGCTGTGCGGCAGAGGAAGAAGAGGTCAACGACTACCGAGTTAAATGTCTGAATAACCTGGCAGCAGCACAGCTGAAGCTTGGACATTTCGATGAGGCTCTGCACACCAGTCAAGATGTGCTGTTTCTCGATCCCCAGAATATCAAAGCATTATTCCGAAAAGGAAAGGTATGGGTGAATATTATCTCACAAAATAGATGCATAGCCCTGAAGAGTTAAACTCTCCTGATCAATCTAATTAAGTCCTTCAGGCTTAGGCCTTGTCCACACTCATACGTTTTCATCTGAAAACGCATCATCTTCTCTCCGTTAAAGAGATACTCAACTTTTTTTTGGAAATAGGCTCATTTTACCACTCCCCCAGAGTTAAAAAGTTGATTTGTACCGTTTTTGAATCCATTCAGCCGATTTTCTGATATTTAGAAGAGTATCAGTAACCAGACAGTTTCTGGTCTCATTGACTTCCATAGTAGGAAAAAAATATACTATGGAAGTCAATGAGACCAGAAACTGTCTGGTTAGTGATATTCTTCTAAATATCAGAAAATCATCTGAATACATTCGAAAACGGTAAAACCCAACTGTTTAACTCTGGGGGAGTGGTAAAATGAGCCTATTTCCCTTTAAGGCCTTTGGTCCACACAAACAAAGACGGAGCTTTTTGAAAACACTCCCAAGTGGATGAATTTGAAAACGCTTATTGTACCAATAGATATCTATGTTTATACCGGCATTGTGCCTGTTATCTGCTATTCACTTTCACACTGCTGCTAAAGATGTTTCTTCATATCACGGTACTGCAAAGTTGACAGATAATTTACTAGTAATTGCTGTCCTGCAGCAAACATGCGTTTTTTACACCAATAGAGTGCCGAAGTTATGACGTCACTTTTTTGGACAACTCGGAAGCTAGCGGCACATGGGTTCCCTCGATCGAAAAGCTATGCATTTTCCCCATAGACTTTTGGAAAATCGCAAAAAATAAGATCTGTGTTTAACAAAGAGTTGTGACCCTTACACGTTTTGTCAAAATGTTAATTTAAAATGTATCCATTTTGAAGCCTTTATAAAGTTTTTTAAAAACACAAGCAGACACAATAAAGTAAAAAAAAAACCATAAGCTGGTTATAACTGTGTGTTCTATGTCATAGATCAAAACGTGAAAATATTTAGAGGCTTTGTTCACCACAGACCTTATTTCAGGCGATTTAGCAAAAACCCATTCAAAAATCCCATTGATTTTAGAGCGAGGGAACCGGCGGGAGTGCTAAAATGCTAACTCACTTCCGCGTTTTGGTCTAGAGAGTGACGTAGTAACTTCGACACTTTATAAAGGTGAATGAGTGCGACCTGGAGATATTTTGCGAAATAAAATGATCCTGCCAGAAGAATAACATGAGGAGGACTTTATTACGTCTGTTCCGACTGTATCATCTTTTTTTTACGCATGCTCAACAAGGTAAATTTGCCATTTCATGTGAAACATTTGCAAATCGCTTGAAAACATTACTTTTTTAAAACTAAAACGTCATTTTAAAATGAGTCAAAGTCATATTAACTGTAATCTGGAAATGTAAACTGTGTCTGCAGCTTTTATCTGACAAGGGGGAGTATGAGGAGGCCATGGAGACCTTGAAGAAGGCTTTGAAACTGGAGCCGTCCACTAAGGTGAGAGACGGAACCGTATCTCCTGAACACATCTACATTTCACGTTAACTGGCAACAGAAAATCCCAATAGCTATTTACAGTTCAACCAAGGCCTTTGTGAAATACCTGGCCTAACTGGAGCAGTGATATTAAGTTGTATTTCAAATTCAATGTCAGCTTATACTCACTGTGGGTCAGGGATGAGGGGTTTGTACTTAATGAAAGTTGCATGTAATATTTAGGTTTATGATTCTATTGAGCTTTCAGTGTTCATAGTACAGGTACTTTAAAAAATACTTCAAATGAGTCTAGGAACAGAGAATGATTCATGGCTCTGTTCAGGATTGTGGATCGATTTGGCCTAGTTAGGATGTGAACAAAATGGCTGGCCACTTAGATTTTTTTCTTTTTATGTATGGCCCCATCACAGTTTTTCCAACAGGTCTGTATAAAATTACAACACAAACATCCTGAGAAATTCCACCAAATCAGTCAGTAAGAGTGCTACAAACAATATTTGTTTCTTAGATAGACTCCTAGCAGAGAATAACTTTTGTGCTGTTACAATCTACCGAACCAAAACTTGTTCTGTCATGCCTTTGAGAGTAGCCTGAGAACAACATTAATCCTTAGAGCAGCCACCAAGATTACGGCTGTCTGGAGCCACTAAATGGACACAAAGTTACACACACACACACACACACATCCTCTCACTAGCCTTCCTGTAATAAAGTGAATTTACACTGAGGATGTTTATGACATGAGAAAAGCAATAAATAGAACAATTCATTAAATCATAACACATAAAACTACTAAGGCCCATTGTGCTAAAAAAAGCCATATCTGATTCCTTGATGAAAAGCCATAATGTAATAAACGCTGTAATTTCACGCTTTATTTTGTATATAATACAATATAATAATATAGAAAAACCACAGACTGTATGGGCCTGAGTGATTTTGACCCAAACTGAGCTTTGACCCAGAGTGCTCATGGTGAAGAGTGAGCTTTGTCTAGACAAAACTAAAATATCTGCTGTTGTTATAATGACACCCCGTCTGGAAGGCAGGGCAAAGCAAACATATCCTCAGGAGGGAACTCATTGCAAAATTAAAATTAAGATCATAGAGTCAGAGACGGCTTGGGATCAAATATATGTGGTAATACATGTGGTGCTATATATTTCAGCCTGCTAGCAGTAGCCTATCTTGGGCTAATGGATTTTGATTATATGGAAAATGTTCAGACCCATTCTAAATGGGATATGAAATCTGAATGGTGTTAAAGGCATATATAAAAAGTATATCTGATATCTGTCAAAGGCCAGATCCTCGACCCAGAACTGATAAAATCAAGGTCAAGAAATACAGTATATTGATTTACTACAAGAATACAATAAGATTTAAAGGGATAGTACTCACCATCATGTTGTTCCAAACCCGTAAGATTTTCGTTCATCTTCAGAACACAGATGAAAATCTTTTTGATGAAATCTGAGCTTTCTGTCCCTCCATTGAGAGCTACACAACTACCACTTTGATGCTTCAAAAAGAGTATAAATAATCCATATTAATTGAGCGTTTAAATTACGCTCAAACGTGCTGCGTAACACAAGGATTCTTGCGATGCTTAAACGTCATGGGCTTATGTTTACCACAACTTATGTGAGTTGATGAATGTTTTTATTCAACGAACAAAATGAACGAAATGACTCGAAAAAAGATTTGTTCATTTTGATGAACAAGTTCGAACAGGAGAGTCACGAACGTGCATCACAGAACAGAGTAACAGTAAGGCGAGCATTTGTGCTTATAAAACTTAAACTTTTTTATTTATTTTTGAAATGACCGATCGTTTCGCTAGATAACACCCTTATTCATCGTCTGGTGTCGTTTAAAGCCCTTTGAAGCTGCACTGAAATTGTCATTTGGACCCTGAAACTGTTGGCTCCCATTGAAGATTATATGGAGAAAAATCCTTGAATGTTTTCATCAAAAACCTTACTTTCTTTTCGACTGAAGAAAGAAAAACATGGACATTTTGGATGACATGGGGGTGAGTAAATAATCAGCAAAAGTTTTTTTTTTTTTTTTTTTTTTTTAAGTGAACTAATCCTTTAACGAAAGTCTTACGGGTTTGGAACGACGCGAGGGTGAAAAAATAACGACAGAATTTTCTCTTTTTTGTGAAGTAACGTTATCCTAAGTGTTTAAAAAAAGTGTTTAACGTTTAACTAAGTGTTTAAAACTTAACATGAGCAGCTCAATCTCGTCATTTACAAACAAAAAAACTACTAAGTTAATGTTGTTCTGTGAATTATTTAACAAACCCTCCTTAATATGCTTTTTACCTTTGAGATGAAGTTGCTTTTATAAAACACGATCGCCAGCCAGTGTTGTTTCACACGTGGAAACCCATCATGACTGTCCTGAGACGCAGCTTCCAGTCAGTGAAATGGCACCATCTGTTGGTCAGTGTTAGCAACAGCAGCGCATGTTTTCCTCACAGAACTGTACAAAGTTCACGAAGGATATTTTTTGAGTGTTTTGCCTTGTATTAGGGCTTTGAATGCTAATTTGTTTTTCTTAATGTATTTTATAGGCTATTCATGCTGAACTGTCCAAACTGGTAAAAAGACAGGCGGGGGAAAATGAGACCCAGAATTGGCAAGCTAAACCAGCTCAAGTGTTTGGCGAAAACATAGCGCCCTTTCTGACACCCCCGCCCAAAAAGAAGCCGTTTGTAAGTGACTGACTACCACCTAGTGAAGAGCATAAAAGTAGTGGGAAAATCCTTTCAAAGTGTGCCAGTGCTGGCGTCCGAGTGCCGCCATCGTTTGATCTCGTTTCTTACTCTGTTTCAGGGAATTTCTTGGAAGTTTCTGCTTGGAGCTCTGGTGGTGGCCTTGGGTAGTTTAGTCACATCTGTGGTCCTGACCGCACGGAACTAGCTCTCTCGACCTACTCGCAAATTAACTTACAAGTCTCACAAACAAACATTCCACAAAGCTGCCAAGGGACGGAGGGAAAATGCACTGAACTCAACCGTTTAAAGAGCGTCTGCATGGGCGGCTCTACCGGTGGAACACCGACCAACGCAAAGCAGTATAAGCACAGAAAAGGGGGCAAGGCAAATGTGTTTTTATTGCAAATTTTAAACACAAGTATTAATATGTTTGGCGTTTTGTTTCACTTTCTAATGCATCACGGGCAGTGATGGAATTATCTAAAGGATTTGGGGGACAGCTGTTCTCTATTAAAGGTGCATTGCGCAAATCTGAGTTTTTGCAGAACTACGCCCCCTCTGGCGATAAGCGAAACTGCAATTAGGTGTGCACACTCACGGACCACACGCACGCTTGCACAAGCTGTTCATAACCAGAGGAGCCACACAGCCACACAAATCTTTTGTTACAGTCATAATATCTTCAGAGGTAATAAAGTTATAAATCTGCAAGTCATTTGAAATATATGAAAGGAAAGGCATTTGAGTAAATTACACACTTATGTGTGTGTGAGGGGAAAATGGGGGTAGTAGACAACTTCAGTGTATCTTCATGTTGAACTGTTTTATGTGCTTACTGTATCCACTTATGATTGTATTATTATGGAAACACGTTAATGAACAATATAAGTTATTACTTTGTATGGATCCCGTTTGAGCCCTAGAGCAGACCGGAGATCTCTCCATTTGTTGAAAGCCTTCCCGATGTTGACTCTCCTCTTATTCCGACGCCTGCCACTAGACAAAAGTTTTATTTTCTTTGTCTTACGTGGAGTTGGGGTTTGGAATGAACTACAAGCCTTTCGTCAAAAGTTGACTAAAGTTTTGTCGCTCGAGTTGTCTTCGCTGATAGGGAGAATGGCGGCGAAAACACAAACCTGCCAGACATAGCCAGGCCAGCGTAAACGCGCATGACGTCACGCCCAGTCTCGAATCCCTCTTATTTATTTGACTGTACAGGATTATAGAGGCAATCACAGTGATCAGAGAAGGGCTCATTCAGCCCATCAGGCAATGGTTTAAGCATGTATGGGTTAGAAAAACAGCTATGAAATGTTGCGCAATGCACCTTTAAATCATTACAGAAAACATTTGATTCAGTTATGGGAGAAATGTCTTCTAATAACAATAAATCAGTATTAGAACCGAAATACAAAGTTGTTGCTGAATTTTTTTTTTAAATTTTTTTTTTGGTCAAACTAATATGAATCCATGTGCAGAAAATTAAATGAACTGTTTTTTTATTTTATTTTAAAGTTATTTATTTTATTTTCTAACTATTTGTTGACAAAATACATATGGAAAATTAAATTATAAAATAGACAAATTGAACAAATTAAGTCACCTCTAAAGTCAACATTTCAGTGCTGTCAAATCGAATAATCAGGTCAAACATAAAAGTTTGTGTTTATATAAAATGTGCGTTTCTAATATACATAATATATATATATGCATGTATGTATATATATATATATATATATATATATATATATATATATATATATATATATATATATATATAAAATGTCACACATTGCATAAACTTTTTTATGTTACATGTAATGAATTGTGATAAATTGATTTTACAGAACTATTTTAAACCTATTCTACTTTCATAATGTGAAATATGATACTGAAGCACTTATTTTTTACTTCAGTAATTGGTTGGATCATTATAAGTGGGAATATTTTTATTTTATAATATTTTTCTAAAACAACTTCTTCATTGCTGTTCCACATTATCCAAATCATTTTATTGTATTGAATATAATAATACAATATAGATTGATGAAAATGTTCTGAGTTTATTGCAATACAAAAACAATATTTAGTTCTTAACATTTCTGGAATAACAAAATTAATTGTGGTTAGTTAAAATACCAACACCTACTGTACATGTTTTTGTTATTACATTTTTTGGAAAACAAGCAGCTTTGTATGAGGAATGACAGAGGAAATATATTCCCTTGTATGGGCTATATGCACGCATAAGTTCCGCATTTGACGTAAGGATGCTCGTCCATTTCCGGTTGTGTAGATTAAAGCGGAGGAAAACCGGAGAAAACGGGATTATGGCAGAGTCTTCAATATTTACTGTCCTCCCGTCTTTGAAACGAAACGTACATACGTTTAGATGTAATTTTATATATAGTTATGTTTATTTAATATAATTTTAAAAAGAAGCATAAACACAACGAGGGGTGTCTGTTTTATCTGTTTTTGTGACTAACGTTTCATTAGTATAACCATGGAGTATAAAATTCAATATAAATTCTCGGTATTGCATTGGACTCTATGATCGGCGGAAGTTATCGAGCATCCCTAATGCTTCACCGGAAATAACGCCGTGCATAGAGCCCATTGAGGGTCATTTGAATATTGTGTTGGACTATATGGGGGGAGCCTTCAAATAAAAAAGTTTGAAAACCAGTGGATCACAGACAATTTTCTTTCCAATAAAACCACCTCCACCCTCCAGTAAACAGTCTAAGCAGTGACTCGTCATACAGAGGATCCAATATTAATATATTGTTGCCCAAACCTGTTAGTGTGACATGTCAGAGAAAGATCACAGATTCTGTACCTGACTTTTATCAATGCAGACATTGTATCTGATGTCAGTTTCTCTCAACCTATTCGTTTAGAATAGCTTCCTCTGATCACAACTGTATTGTCTTTTTTTAATTGTATTGCATTTCATCGTTTTTACTTAAATATCGTCGTGACGTATGGTGACCTTGAGTGTCAAGAAAGGCGCCTAGAAATAAAATGCATAACGCTAATGGTCACAGTTGTAAATTTACAAAAAATAACTTGTATAACCACATTAGCTGCCAGATTTTTTCCACAATTTCTAGTTTTCACCCATTTAACGGCTCTGGTTTAAACCTTCCAAAATAATCTTAATACAATTAAACCCTTAACCTATGGCAACCATTCCTGACGTCAAATCCAATTAAATTATTGCTTCCTGTACAAAAGATCTTGCGATGCTGCCAATGCTTCAGAGTAAGTTTGACACCAGACAGTAAAGACATTGGTTTGTTGGGTACTTCGATAGCGGCCATTGGGATGAGCTAATCTGACAATCGGATAAAACTGATGACAAAAAAAAAAAAAAAAAAAAAAAAAGTGCCATTGTTTGTGCTTTCCTTTAAAGCCTTTTTTTGTACACCAATTTAGATTGACTGGGTATCTACTTAACTATGCACATGCCTCTTTTCTGGAGCAGTATTTACCATGCAAAAACCAAGAATAACAGACCCATCTATTTTTATACTTCCTTTACTAAAAATGTTTGAATAAAGTGCAACTAAATCAGAGTTTGCTGCTTTTTTTTTTAGAGAACATCAGAAGAATGCTTCCAGACCATTGACTTAAACTAAATCTAAAACTTTTATTTAACAAAATGTACGTGAACATCCTTCAATTCAAATATAACAAATAAAAACATTTAAATACACATTGAACCCTGAAGTGAATTGATCATTTGTAGGCAAATGTACAAGTATACATTTGATCAGTGCTTAAAAACACCAAGGACACTTACAAAACATTCAAAAGATATCAATTGCTTAAGTGACTAACTTGATTCTTTAAAAAGACTAACATTTTCCCAATAAAATATCACTTTATAAGGTGCAATAATTATTTAAAAAGTTAACTTTACTGCAATGCACTGACATTAAAAAAAACAGAAGACCTTTAAACCCCAGCAGTTTTAAACTCCACAGCAGTTGCTCAGAGTCTTCCTCCGTTTGTGAAGATTCAGATTCACCTGTGACTCTGACCTCTTCCCCAGTTTTGCATGTTTCTTTACTTCTCTGTGATAATGTATCAGAAGACATATGAAACCTCAAAACATTGAATCTTTACTCAGTTTTAGAATGATCAAGAACTGATCTTACCTTGCCAAGTGTAAAACGGCCTCAACGACGTTCGTCCCCTCTTTAGCACTTGCCTCACAGAACAGGGCATTATAAGCCTGTCATGGACAGCAGCCATTAGAAATTGACAACATGATGGTTAATAGTCTTTCCACACAAATCCGAGACTTACCAAAGCAAGCTTTTCCCCATGTAAAGAGCTCACACAGCTTCCCTCTGGCCTCTCTGCCCTCAAATCCACCTTGTTCCCTATTATACACATTGGGATGTCCTTATCGGTTGACTCCTGCGAGGAAAAATTGACCGGATTCAGAATACAAAAGGAAATGTAAAGGTCATTCAAATTTGTCACCGTACCTGAATCTGTTCCACCCATTCACGAACATTCAGAAAGCTGCTCTCAGACGTGACATCGTACAGCAGTAGCACTCCGTGTGCTTTGCGGAAATATGACCTAGCAATGCTGCGGAACCTGAAGAAAAGTAACAACTTTTTGAAAATGAATGTGCTTACCAGTGAAGTATTGTCTAAAATCACTACAGCTCAAAAGTTTGGGGGTCAGTATGAACGTTCAGTATTTTTATTTCAATACTTTTATTCAGCAGGAATAATTTAAACAGCATTTAAAAGGTTTCCACAAATATTAAAGCAGCAAAAGCTGAATTGTCATCATTCATTCATTGCTTCAATGGTATAGATTACACTCTAAAATGTATTCTAATAAAAAATAAATCGTAACTACACAATATTGTTGTTTTACTGATCAAATAAATCTAGCCTTGGTGATCACTGAGCACAAGTCTTTTTTTCCCCCCTAAAAACAAACTCTTACTGACCCCACTTTATATTCAGCATATGGTTCATTAGACAATGAAAACTTAACAGTCAGCAACGACAAAAAGGGAATTTCTAGTTGTAAAGGGTAATTCAGGGAATTAAACGTTCAGATTTTATGTAAAATAAGTCCTCAAATACATTTGCTACAGATCAAGTCACAAACAAAGGCTCAGTTTCACAGACAAGGCTTAGATTAAACCAGGAGTATAGGCCTTTTAACATTACTGGTGTTCATCTTGGCAAAACAACAGCATTGATATATTTTAAGAGTGTCAGTGCACGTTACTTTCAGTTAAAACAGTTCAAATATGCATTTTAGTCTGAAAGTAGACTTAAATCTTGTCTGCGAAACCCGGGGAAAGAATCCAACACAAGCTTCACATTTAAACCTGCAGGTCCACTGATATTCCATTATTTACCGTCAATCACATGTATAAACGAACGGGAAACATGTTTAATTTAGATTGTGTGGCAACATGCCATATTTATTAGAATTTGTTAAACAGTACTGTTCAATCTTAGCTTAACCACGTAAAACTCAAAAGTATGGCGGCACAGCTCAAAACACTAACCTAGTTCACAAGGTTTTAGCATAAACTAGCATACAGTAAAATTACAATTTTAAATGTTTTTCATTTTACTATTAATGAACAAATTTATTTATTCCTGTGATACAAAGCTTGATTTTCAGCATCATTACTCCAGACTTCAGTGTCACATGATCCAGAAATATTTGAGGAAACCATGATGCATTCTTTGCCGAATATAAAGTGCAAAAGCAGTTATTTGAAAAAAATCTTGAGGAAAATCTCATTGAAAAAAATCTCGTAGGGCTGTCGAAGTGAAAACAATAACAGCAACAGGTTTTTATACAGTCCTGCCAGAGACTGTATATTATTTAGGACAGTCATGTTACATGATTTGACTGATTTGAATGTTACGCTAGGGCAGCTTTACTGGAAAGTATTGGAATGCGGCATCATGTTTTCATTGACAAGCCAAAATTAAAAATCTATTAATAGCAATCCCTTTGAGAGCAAGGGGCCCCCTGGTGGTTCAGGGGCCTTACACAACTTTGCGAATAGGGAGGACCGGCACAGTGTACCAGCAGACAAAATGTAGTATCTGTGCATCTTAATTCATATGCAACTTAAACATAACTTTAACCATCCATGTAGTTGGTTCTTAAACCGGTCATTGTACTTTACCTTTCCTGTCCAGCAGTGTCCCAGATCTGAAGGTTTGTTTTCTCTCCATCTACAAGCATCTTCTTGATTTGAAAATCAACACCTGCAAGAACCAACTTTGAGCTATTTGGATTCCATCATCATGATGTATTCATATGGTAACATTAAAGCTCATTCAAATAGTGCTGGTTGCAAGTTCTCACCAAGAGTGGTTTGCATATCTCCTCTGAACTCGTTAAGACTCAACCGTAGTAAAAAGCTGGATTTTCCTGACCCAGCATCCCCAGCCAAAACCAGACGATACACTGGAGCAAGATCTGTGTCGAGCAAGTCTTCTTCAGTTTGCTATAGAGAACAAAATTTACAGTCACAGTGCTTCAACCTTTTTTTTTACCAGTTTTACAATGCCGTCATTTACAAGATAAGATTAACCATTTTATAGCCAATAAAATAGTTTACAGCTTGCCAGAGCTACAAAATGAATAATGTATAAAAACACTCAGAGTTAAAAGTATTATTGTAAATTCATAGCAGGTATTGAAATCAAACTCATCAAATATCATATCCAAATTTAATTTATCAAAGTTTTTTTAAGCGATCTTGAGGCCCCTAAATAACTGAACATATTACACAGCATTTGATCTTTATAAACACGATCCAAATGCTACTAAAAATAGTCAATGGACTAGTTACTTGCTAACTGGTCCATAACTTTACAAAACACTTTGGGCCTTTATAGTTTTCAGCAAAACTACGTAGTAAAGCTGAATGTCATGTCAGGAGCGGAGGCTATTTTAATGGCAAAGGCCGAGTTACAAGTTACACAAGAGTTACACAAATACTTTATTATATATATTTTTTTAAATAGAGCAGTTAAGATTACACAAGATGCATTACATTTACAAATGATTCTAAAACTTTCTGGTATCAAACTCTTAAGTAAACTTACGAAAAAACTGACTACTTTAAAGATGTTTAAAAACCAGGGAATACGCAAGAACTACCTTGACAGGAAAAGCAGATAAGCGTCGCCGAAGTGAGGATGATATTGAGCCAACTCTGCTACGAGGTGCAGATTGCAAAGCATCAGACTTCAGTTCCGATACCTACAAAAACATTAGTTATTTATCTAGAAAGGAAATATACATATATGCAACCCGTATGTGAAAGCTTTAGACTTGCCTCCAGTTCAGATGGAAGAGAAGAGTAACTATGATGCACCGTTTCCACTGAATTATGGCTGTCGTCACTGTCATAGTCGCTGGCTGACATCGGCTCAGGGTCCGTCTGAAGGGAAACGCCACTGTCCAAATATTTATCAGCCCAGCACTTGACTAAAGACATAGTATCCTCTTCATTAGTCAAACTATAAAAAAAAAAAAAGTTAAATAGACATCCAATCCTCCATAGAAAAAATAATATAGTATAATAAACAGGCCTAAACAAAGAATCTTGAATGTTTACTCTGTATTGCAGTTGTACCTTGACAGAAACACACACTGAGCAAACAATGGAGGGCATAATTACCCGCTCTGATTCATTGTACTCTGTCGAAGTGGTTTCATCTTCCTAGGAGGAATTTCATCTTTTGGTGAGAGCTACAGAAGAGCGAACATTTTAATGAGGATAGTATTGTGTAAATTAAAATGCATTCCAGAAACAATGCTGATATGATGGAAATCCAAATATTTGACTACGGTTAAAACGAGTGCAGCGCCAACTCCAAAAACAATTATATAGCTACCCGTCTTTTTGTAGAGGAGCTTTCCTGGCTCAGAGCAGAGCGTAACCCATCATTGCTGTCATACAACGTTTTGTTCACTTCCCTAAAGCGGAGGGGGAAAAACAAACCTTTCACATCAAAACAAGCAAGAAATCCATTTCTTCATTACAATACTGATTCATTTGAAAACTGAATTGACTTACTGGAGGATTTCTATATGGCTGGAATATGACTGATACTCCATCACCATCTTCTTAAGGTCATCACTTTCTCTGAGAAGGAAAAAGAAAAAAAAGGCTGTATGGGAGAACCTTAATGTCTTGACAAACACAAACTCAGTTTGAAGCATCAGTTCTCTCACCTCTCATGTTGGATTTTCTGGTCAGCAAAGGCATTCTTCAATCCGTCCAACTCAACCTGGAGAACGGAGACATTCATCTTGGCTTTTATAAGCGAACTCCTCAGCTCCTCATTCTCCTGCAGAGAAACAAATGAAAGCTGTAGAGGTCATAAATGGATCAATTTGGTATTTAGGGTGCAAATACAGAATAAAGGGTAATCTGCCCCACCAAATTCAGACAGACTGGGCTAAAAATGTGTCCGTGGATAAGCTGAGGTGCCTCTAACAAAAATGGTTCATAATTTGACATTCGATCACATACTGCATTTTTGTTAAATTTTTAATTGACGTGTAAACCATTCCCATATTCTATTTATATGACCTTATGTGATAATTCACCTCAAGACATCTCAAGTTTCCAAATATGAAAAGGAAGAATGTTGGGGACTATTTTTTTAATGAAGAAAAAAGAAAGTGATTTTGGATGAATTATCATTTTTAAAAAAATATAAAAAGCCAGACTTTACCTTGCTCACCCTAGGGTTCAAACAATTATGAAGGGCACTGCATGTGGTAGTAGGGAGAGGAATCCGATTCATACCTGCATAAGAGCTTTAATCTGTGCTCTCAATTTGTTGGCCTCTTCTCTGGGGCTGTTCAATTTTGACTCCTCTTGATACTGCTAAAATTCGAGAATGTAAGAAACAATGCAAGTTACACAAACAAACCCACATGCATTCGAACGAGAATCCCAGATTCTCACCTTTGTGAGCCTCTCTATTGTTGTTTGCAGGTCTGCCAGCTCATTCTCATGCTTGATTTGGAGCATAGCAATGGATTCATCCAATTTCTTCTGCTCCTGTATGCATGAAACCCAAGAAGAGTGTTTTCCTTATATGCACAGGCCTAATAAAGAGGCATTTACAAGCTCTCATAGAGAAGCCTTTGTGCACAGAGTCAGGCTGGCCTTCCAGTTAAAAAGCTCACTGGGGTACAAGAATAAAGGTAAACCACTGAACAAGAAGCTGAACCCAAAATCCCTATTTCCCACTCAGCAAGACAGAATAAACACATTTGCATGTATGAATTATATGTATGGTTATAGTAACTAATATCTTTAAGAACGAATATCATTAAGAAGTTAGAAAAGCATGACCTACTTTTGCTTTAATCTGCATGTAATAATGCGACATTAACTCTTTTCCCTGTCATTGATGGAAATTTCACTATACCATAACGGTGTTTTGACTGTTATACGGTAGGGGGCGCCATTATGCATCTTTTGAATGAGTACTGAATCTAGAAACAAGCAATAGCTTATACATATTATATTTATTAAATGTAAAAATGTGGCAACATTAACCCACATAAATCAAAACTAATGTTACTGAATGAAATGTGGACCCAGGACGAGCTGCGAGGATGGACTCGATCTACTCCATCTAGGTTTTGATCATCAGTCTGAATCCCATCCAGACATAATCTTGACAAATGCAATGCAATTCTCAGCCTTTTCGTCAAAGTTGTTTTATGAAGCTTACATTCAAGTGTTGATAAAAATGCATTAAGCTAGCTTTATTCATACAACTAAATATTCTGGGGGCCATGAAATTGTGAAAATGATCAAATCCTGGCAATGGCTGACAACTTTTTTGAGCAATGCTGGCAGGGAAAGAGTTAATATTCAAGCTAATGTACCTAAATGTGCCGATTCATAAAAATAGTCACTGCATATGAAGCTTCTCTGACTTCACCTCTTCTCGGACCCTTTCTTCTGAGCGGGCCAGTTGCTGCTGCACGTCCTCCTCCATCTCTTCTAACTGACAGCTGGTCAGTTCCTCTGTCCTGTTGACATCAAAAAGGCACAAGGCAAAGCCTGAACTTTTTAGAATGGCAACTTTAAAGTCTACAGAAAGCAGTTTGAAACAATCTTTTTCGGATGCATTAAAAGGTTTCCTAAGACCAAGAGCACCGGCATCCAGGTCTCAAAAGAAACGTTCCCCTGAGGAGCTACTACTGGAGAGATGAATTACTCCTTTAAGCTACACCGTCTTATAATCATCAAATGGGTGCAGTTGAGCAAACGTCTGACGAAAGGAAAGGGAGGAATGAAGGTAGGACTCTTGTGAAAACAAGCTGTAAGTGTGTAAGCTGGACCAGAGGTGAAACAAACAGCCTTATGCTAAACACACAGCACAAGGCCTGGACTGTGTTTCACTGAGAATTCTTGAGAAATACAAGGACAAGCTTAGTAACTCTGCACTAATTTTTCATTTCCTCCTTCCTTAAGAATAGAAGAGCTTTTCTTCCTTTAATAATAATAATCTTTGGAACCTGAATCCATTAAATACTTAAAAAAAAAAAAAAACACTTCCTGGACCAAAAAAAAAAAAGGCTACTGTGGTAGATAGGAAGGAAATAATATTAGGGATTCATTAATCTGATATGGAACAGCATAATCTTCTTGTACTTAATACAATTGAGCACTAAATTCTGTGACAGTCTTACTCCCACTACAAAGCTTCAGAAAACTTCCAAGCGGCCACAGAATGACAAGTTTCAGAAAACGAACTATTAAAAAGCTAAAGAAATTCTTTCAAACATGTTAAGGGACATGAAATTATATCGAGGCACAACTACTATCATCTTTCATTATATCTCATCAGCCTTGGCAATAACTATTTGAAAGGGCCAAACTAGCTATTGTAAAACCTGTTTTTGAATCGGCGCAGCATCCCGGCTGCATCCTGGAAATGCTCCTCACCTTCGAAGACTTGCCTCGAGTTGTTCACTCTCCATCCTGTGTTCTTTGCTCTCGGACACAAAGGCTTTGATGACATCCTCATATTGCTGCAATAACAGCTCATCTGATGTGGAGTGGATTTGTTCATACAACTCACTCACTGCATTGCACTGCCTGCAGACAAGATGGAAAGAAAAAAAGTGGGAACAGTTTTATGTGGATGGATGAAGCCAGTTGTCAAGACACAGGCATTCGGACAAAAAAAAAATGCAAAACAGTAGTTAAATGGAGATGAAAAACATTAAAAACCTGTGAATACACAAGTTTACTCATCTAAATGGGCAGATACAAACCACAGACTATTGCTTTTATATACAACTAGATATAAATGGAGCAACTGCTGAGTCCAGGTAGTGAATAAAAAAGGCATCCCAATTAAAAACGTAGAGGATTTCAATCTTTTATCCAGGTAATATCCTCCAAAACACTATGAATGTCATACATAGTATGATTTTCTGCATATATGGTCCAATATATAATATATATTGGCCATTTCCACCTCTGGCTATAAAAAAAAAAAAAAAGTACATTTTTTTTGTATAAATGAGGGAGTCCAACAAAAAGCTTGTCAGATTTAACTAACTTCTCTGATCCAAAAACCTGTACGTGCGCGCGCGAGCACACACAGAGAATTGTTACGTCCATCTTTGTGAGGACACTTATTGACATTTGACAAGGTAATCTCTAGTTCCTTACCCTAACCACCACAAATAAGTGTCTAAACTGAACCTTTACCCTAAACCCAATAATAACCTTATCCTCAAACCAAGTCTTGACCCTCAAACAAGCCTTTAAAGAGCGCTCAGAAAGTGAGGACCAGCCAAAAATGTCTTTACTCTCTTTGTCCTCGTTCGGATGGTCTAAAACACAAAGCGGGCCTCACAACAAATATAGTTGTAGGCTATACAAGTCCACACAACAAACACACTAGAATTTTAAGAACTTGAGCTAACTAGAAAGTAAACTAAAAAGTTTAAAACGTAGACAAATTATAGCCTGTATTGTCTCGTGCATCCTTTGTCAATGACGCAAGTAAAAGCTTAAAATAAGTGACTCTGAACTTCAAGAAAGTCAATAAGCCTAACTTACCTTCCTAAATAAAAGGCAACATCTCCGTCTAAAGCGTTTTCAAACTCATCCCAAGCGCTTCTCTGACTTTGTAAACTGTTTCCCAACAAAGCAAGATTAAGGGCTTCGGAAACTTCGTGAAAGCTTGACGAAAAGTCGTTGAAATTAATGTATCCGTCTCCATCCAGGTCGAACTTGTTGAACAAAGTCCTGATCTCGTCCGCAGGGACATTAAGTTCTCGGCAAACATTAGTGAAGTCCTCGTATTCGACTCTTCCTGACTTATTCCCATCACATGCTGCGAAAAGTCTCCGAAGGTCAGTTTGGTTCATCTTCTCACTTGACGAGGACAAGCAAACGCTTATTATTTGAAATACACCCGTGTACAACGACAACGCTCCAAATAACCTACGTGAAAGTGATAAAACGACGAAATTGTGAAGAGGAATGAGCGTTCACATGCAGCCTACTGTACATCACCAACAGGTGCGCGCGGACACTAGAGCAGGTTATAGATGAAGGCATGCGTGATTGGATGATCGCGCTCATTATCTCGCGTGTAACAAGTTAAACTCGAGTAAATGTGTCATTGGATACCCGTGGAAGTAGGCGTGCTGTAAAAGCGCACAACAATCTGAGAACCAGCCCATATTTACCTGATGGTCTCTCAGTCTGGCCAGCTAGCCTAGCCTAAGTGCGTAAAACCAGCAAAAAGACCTGGGTCCGTTTACTTTTTTATCATTTAATTTTCTGTTTGGAATGGAATAACGAGAAATGAAAACCAGCTCGTTCATTAATTTTTTCGTTTATTTAAAAAAAAACAACAACTTATAGTTAGATTTTGTCTTGATTTTTCTTTTTTCGTTTATGGTTGCATCTGTTCATGGGTTCAAAATGGCATTTGTAACTAATAACATTTTAAAGGTATGACGTGCTCTTCAACCGACTTGATTTTAATTAGCCTAATACCAAACCCTCTCTCTTTTCTCTCTTATGTTCAGTACAGCCTAGTTTTTTTTTTATTTCCACTTAGCTTTTATCCAAAGAGACGCAACTATTTGCACTGTATTTATCAATGAGAACCCTAAACCACATCTGTGATGTTATTTCATGATTTTTATTAACCACACTGAAAAAAGTGTCTCATTAGATCAAAGTAAAAAAATTGCGTCAACTGGTTACATCTAATTGATTTACTTTCTATCAACTTAAAATTTTTACTTTGAAGAGAATTAACCATCCATTACTTAGCTAAAGTAAAAATTAATCTTTGAATCAAATAAAGTTTTTAAGTTGAATGAAATATCAAATTATACTTTGTCTTAATGTTTTCTTAAGTTGTATTGACTTAATTATTGTACTTTACATATCTAACCAAATATCCAAAAAAATACAATTTAAAATATTAATGTATTATAAAGAAATTTATTTACTTTCAGAATGTGTAATTTTATCATTTAAGAAAAATGACTTCAAGCATCAAACTTTTGACAATTTATTTTGTCATAACTTTTTCTTTTACGTGTACAGTATCCTCATACACAATGTAAACATCAAACTTCAGCAGAAAATTGTAGCTGGGTCAAAGGAAACAAATTTACCCCTGCAGCTTTGAAGAGAGGTTCTGCACCCTTCGGCTCATCTGCTTACTCTCTATGTCCATGATTATTATCTGAAAGGCCTCAAAAGTATATTTGAGTCCTTCAGGATATTTTAGGTTCAGTGCATAAACGAGTCCAAACATCATGGCACAGGCAACAGTGGGCAACTCCTTCAGTACTTCCACACCTTCAATGGCAATGGAAATGTCCAGCACACGACTAAGAGCATCACTTTCACGGATCACAAAAAATGCCATAGTGGTCTTTTCAAATTCTCTCTCCGCTTCCTCCCTCTGGTCATCCTAAAAACATACAAAAACAGAGAGCAATTGAGGGACTGTGGAAGAAGAAAAAAAACCCCAGCCCCAAAATTTAGTTAGCTGTACTACTAAGGTCAATGTAGAGCCCAAACATCTGTTGTTAACTTTAATTAAAATATCTTCAATAAAATTTGTAGGGTTTATTACAAGAGTAGAGTAAGTGATGACAATTTTCATTTTTGGGTGACGATGTACTTTTACACTCTCTTTAGCTTTGAAAATGCTTTTAAACACTTTCAAAGGCTCCCAGTTGCTGACCATTGTAGACAATCACAGACATATTTGTTGAGTGCAGTACCACAATGGCCAATCAGAGGCATTTATCAATCCACTCAACAGTGTTCAAAATGCATTTTGGGGTGAACCAACCCCTATTAAAGGAGTAATTCAAGGGATGGGCAACGATTTATCGCGATTAATCGTTAGCAAAATAAAAGTTTGTGTTTACATAATATATGTGTGTGTAGTGTGTATAATTAATTTGTATATATAAATACCCACACATGCATGTATATATTTAAGAAAAATGTGTTAACATGTCAAATATTTATATTTATATATAATATTAATTATGTATAAATATATATAAAGTATATACATGCAAATATTTCTTAAATATATACATGCATGTGTGTGTGTGTGTATTTATATATACAAATTAATTATACACACTACATACACATATATTATGTAAACACAAACTTTTATTTTGCTAACAATTAATCGCGATTAATCGTTGCCCATCCCTAAGTAATTCAAAATAAAAATTCTGTCATCGTTTAAATTTCTCTTGTCATTTCAAACCAGTATGAATTACTGTACTCTGCAGAATTTTGAACAGCGTTGGTGACAGAACAGCACAGCCCCCATTCACTGTTATTGTATGGACACAAAACCAATGCAAGTGAATGGGGGGCTCTTAAAGGATTAGTCCACTTAAAAAAAACCTTTTGCTGATAATTTACTCACCCCCATGTCATCCAAGATGTCCATGTCTTTCTTTCTTCAGTCGAAAAGAAATTAAGGTTTTTGATGAAAACATTACAGGATTTTCTCCATATAATGGACTTCATTGGGAACCAAACGGTTCAAGGTCCAAATGACAGTTTCAGTGCAAACTGTTCAAAGGGCTTTAAACGACACCAGACGATGAATAAGGGTCTTATCTAGCAAAACAATCGGGCATTTAAAAAATAATAAGTTTTATAAGCACAAATGCTCGCCTTGCTCTGTTCTGTGATGCACGTTCGTTTTAACATAATTGTGTATTACGTGACGTCACGAACGCGTATCACAGAACAGAAAATTGAAACTCATTTGGACCTTGAACCATTTGGGGTTTATTGAAGTCCATTATATGGAGAAAAATCCTGGAATGTTTTCATCAAAAACCTTAATTTCTTTTCGACTGAAGAAAGAAAGACATGGACATCTTGGATGACATGGGGGTGAGGAAATTATCAGCAAAACTTTTTTTTAAAGTGAACTACTCCTTCTTCAAAATACATTCTTTTGTATTCTGTGGTAGAAAGTCACACAGGCCGATGTGTAAATGATAACAATTACTTTTGAGCGATATGTCACTACCAAACTTACTAAATTAAATTAAACTAAATTAAATTGCGCGAGAACTGAAATCAAGTAGTTGAAGGAGATCGCAATTCTCGCGCATGCGTCGTGGAAATCTAAGGAAGTCTCGTTTCAGGCCAACAAGGAAGAAAAGGAATAGTCGAATAAAGTCGTTATTTTTGTTTGTTTTTTCGCACAAAAAGTATTCTCGTCGCTTGATAAACTTATAGTTGAGCCACGGTAGTTACCTGGGATATTTAAACATTTTCTTCATTGACTTTCTGGGCCGTCAAGAGCCAGTCCCTTAGGAAGCCAATGTGGTAGTGAGACAGCTCTCAAATTTAATCAAAAATATGTTCATGTGTTGCGAAGATGAACGAAGGTCTTACGGGGTTGGTACAGCATGGGGGTGAGTAATTAATGACTTAATTTTCATTTTTGGGTGAACGAACCCTTTAAGGCAAACATGGTTGGACAAAATTTCAGCAATTTGTCTACATTACCTGGTATTCTTTGATCAGACAGCTTGCATCTTCACCAAGGTACATGATCAGGCACTTCAGCAGGCACTCTCTTCTGACGTCTATGTCCGGACTCTACAAAATGCATTGTTTTTATTAGACCAAAACACTACTAAATTGATTGCCACAAGCAATTTTGTTCTCATGCAACCAATATCTGATCCATAACTTTTATAGTATCCTTAGTTTTTTCACGAAGGAGTCCACCTTCGCTCCTGATCACCTGGAGAAGCTGAGAGCTCTGTCTGTCCAAAGAGGCCATAAATCTTGATTGCAAAGGTAAGGTCGTGATAAGAAAAAATTCGGCATTAATCTACAAGAAAGAGAAACAGAAAAAAGTGATTTTACTTTCAGAATTAGTTGTAAAAAAATACATAGACACACAAAGCATTAAACAACAAAAGTTATAATTAGGGCATCCAAGACATTTTCAAAAATACTACATACCAAAATTCAATTATAAAAACTATGGTAAATTCAGGATTAGTCACATTTAAAAAAATTTCATTACAAATAAATGCTTTTACCTCCTCTTGTTGAAACAGAGCTGGCCATCCAATGCACTGATGGTTCTGATGTGATATTTCTGTGAAACTATTGCTGCTGAAATAGAACAAAACCTGTCAATCACTGTATAATTAACTTAATGAATCTATGATGTAGGCTAATTACATCGCACGTACATCTCTGGTTTGAGTGCAGATTTCAGTGAGAGAGAGAGCGCGTGCGCGCGCGCGCTCTGAACTAATCTTACGCGATGACTAATCTGAACAACTTTTGATTATTAGAAATTGCATTCATAAACTCAAAAGAATCGCGTGTGTTTGTTCTAATGCGCAACGCGATTATCGTATAAGAGATGCCTTTTGAGAAGACTCAACCCACCAAAATGATAGAGGGAGTAACATTACTTTGTTACACACCACAGCTGAAACCCACACGCGAATGGCGGGTGTTAATGTCAAGCCCTGATATATTATGTTTACAACACGCCCAAACATATGTTTAAAATTACTTACCAATTTTCTTGCTTCCCGTTTTCCCACGCTGAGTTCTTCCATGCGGTTTAACAAGATGGCGGAAAGCTGAACGTCTCACGTACGACCACGGCACGGATGACGTCAGAAGTCACGTGACAACGGAAACCAATATTTTTACTTTAATTTAAAGAAATCCATTTACTTTACACTAACAATACTTACTTTTAATTTAAATCAACGAAAATTTTTACATTAAACTGATGGCTAGATAGAAAATTAATTGTTTTGTGTTACATCAAGTATAAAAATTTCTTTAGAGTAATGACATGCCTTGTTCACTTTTTTCAGTGCAAAGAAGAACACATATAGCCTAGGCTAGGCCTATATGTTATATGTAAAAAGTTACTGCTTTAAATTTGTACGTACAATCAACTTGAACGTTTGTCAACTTAAATTAGGCTACATTAAACTGACTTAAAAAATCGAGTTGATTCTTGTATTTAACTTATATATAAAAATGAATTAAAGCATTTTTTTTACATAGGATAATTATAAATAAGAAAAGAATGAGCAGAAAATAATAGTTAAAAAACAGACAAATACTGAACTTATATAAGTGTTGGTGGATTTTTTAGTCTTTGCCTAATTAGCCTATTTTACTGCGCCACGACGGCTAATTATTTTTCTAATATAAAATTAGCTTATATTGCTTTTCAATTTAGTAAAGAGTCTACAATAATAAAACTATCTAAAATAAATTAGCAAAAGTCATCACCAAAAGGAAAATGAACAGAGCATGAACATGAAAGTCATGTTGACGTATTCCGTCGCGCGCCGGACGCCAGTGCGCGCGGTGTGGGTCTGTCCGAGGGCGCTACTCTATTTCCCTTTCAGGTGTGGACTTTATTTGCTGAAGGACATTTGATTTGCCTTCCTTTGTTTGGTAATGACCACGACATATAGCCACACTCGTATTTCATACAATTCAATTACATTTTCTCTGAATTACAAACTGATTAAAGAGTTGGCCTAGGTTAAATAAATCAAAAAGTAGCCTAAATAAAAAGGTAGCCTGCTATGATATAAATTGTATGATTTTTCATTGTATCTCTGGCCGTGTCATTCTGCAAACAGGGCACCGCACCTTAAACTAACTTAAGTGTTTACATGGTTCTTCTGTCATTAGCCTGCGTCAAATATCACGCACGCATAACCCAGAGGAACTTTTATTTACATAACTGGATATGAGTATCGTGTTGTTGTAACTATGTCAGCTATTGTTTGTTTCTTTATTTAACATGGAAGAAACAGGTAGTGATGACCACAACGATTACGGCAATATTCAAGAATGAGTCGTTTATATACCGACATGCCACACGATGGCAGCATTATTACGGTCAAATATTAGAGCGCTCGTGAGCACTTGCTCAAACCCATTTGAAAAGTGAGATTTATGAGGGCGACAGTACCATTCAAAGAATGAAACATTACTATTTTTTATGTTTTTGAAAGAAGTCTCTTATGCTCATTAAGCCTGCATTTATTTGATCAAAAATACAGGAAAAACTGTAATATTCTGAAATATTATTACAATTTAAAATAATGGTTTTCTATTTTAATATGCTATAAATATAATTTATTTCTGTGATGCAAAGCTAAATTTTCATCAGTCATTTCTCCAGTCTTTAGTGTCAAAAATCAATCTAATATGCTGATTTATTATCAATGTTGGAAAATATTTTTTGGAACCGGTTATAGTTTTTTTTTTTTTGATTCATTGATGAATAACAAGTTAAAAAGAACTGCATTTATTCAAAATTAAATTAGTTTCTAACTATATAAATCTTTACTATCACTTTTTATAAAATTAGTACATCCTTGCTGAATAAAAAAAATAATTTGTTTAAAAAAAATATACTGACCATAAACTTTTGAACTGTAGTGTATATTATTACATAAATAAATAAAAGCTGTTTTTTTTACTTTTATGAGGAAAGTATCAAAGGTTCTTAAAAAAATAAAAATAAATAAACATTAAGCACCAAAACTGTTTCCAAAACATCAATAATAAATCAGCATATTAGAATGATTTCTGAAGGATCGTGTGACATGGACTGGAGTAATGATGCTGAAAATTCAGATTTGCATCACAGAAATAAATAATATTTTAAAAGCATGTTAAAATAGAAAAACATTATTTAAAATGTTAATAATATTTGACAATATTACTGTTTTTTTCTATATTTTTTGGTCAAACAAATGCAGACTTGATGAGCATAAAAGACTTTGAAAACATAAAAAAACAGTAATGTTTCCTAACTTTTGACCAGTACTGTATTTGTAAAGATATTTTTATAAAAGAGAGCCTATGAGAGCCTAAGAGAGTTTATGAGATATTACAGTAGGCATATATCTTTTCATTAACCATATATATATCATTTGATGCCACTTGAATCAAAACTTGTAATTGACTGAAAAATGTTCAATCAAAAATCAGTGGGTTTATTTCTTTTATTTAAAAAATTAAAATTAAAGTGCTTTTATGTACAATATAATAAAAACAACAAAACAGTAGTGATGTATAATACAAAAAATACATTTCACAACAGTTTTTTTCTTTACATTGGCAGCAAAATGTACAAATACACCTTTACATTAAAGTTTACAAGACATTAACTTACAATAGATCAGAGCATCTTGGTGCGCCATTATAAAGAATGTATCTGAGCATTTAAGAGTGTAACAGACTAACGCAGTCCAGTAACTCTTATGTCCGAGTCAGTTCAGCACTGAAATATGTGACTACACGACTATTTATATACGTAACTAAATCTACCGCTTGTAGGTAGCAGCTGATGTACAGTGAAGTTTTCACATTGTCTACTCCGTAAAACGGCACGCTAGTGATAATAATCTGATGATGTTCTGAAAAACAAGCAAATCTGCTTCGTTTAAATGATTTTTGCATGATATTTTGAATGTGATTTTCAAACAGAGGTCTGAGTATATGTAAAACAGTTATATTATTATTACAAATACGTGTTTTTTTTATTCTTTTTCTGTGCTTGAAATATGTTCAGTAAGTGTTTTGTGTTTGTGTGATTGATATATATATATATATATATATTAGGGGAGCTCTGTAGATATTAATAAGCACAGTGGAGACATACCCTTGCAGTGGACTGTTGCACAGAAGACCATTAGATATACAGTGGTTTTCGACTTTAGGTAATTCTACTGTGTAGTCCACCAGAGCAGACATGCATGTGAGGTTTGCTCTTTGTTCACATGTTTTAGTCACAAAATTGGCTACAATATTACACTTGCTTTCCCGCAAACCCTTTGAGTCACGAAATCTAGTCATTGCTACAGCAATGTCAGGAGAACATTCATCCCCAGACACTTTCATTCCAACCATTGCCACATTCTGTGCAAATACAATAGAAAAAAAAAAAAAGAATTGTAATGCATTCTGGTAAAAGAAAAAAAGCAGAAATGTCGTTCATAACCTTGGCTTACAAAAAAAATCGTACAACTTTGTGATCAAAGTCATTGTCCGTCAATATCATGTACAAGTCCCACTTTCAAACATTCAGCATACATTTAAATAAGACACAATGTTTCTATTGAAAGAAAAATTTTGGAACACTTTCAATCAATACATAACTACATTCACAATACAAATGTCTGTGTGATCTTTAAAGATCAATGGCAATGAAACATAACATTACACACTTGGGTGGTGCAATATACAATGCTTGTCTTTGGGAATTTTCCTGGAAAATTTGATCATGGAAATAGATGTTTCTTACAAATTCGTATTATTATTTGTGTCTGTGTATTCTTAACTATACATTTATACATGGATCCTTACTGTATGTTGATGCTGTGCTAACTTACATTTGCGCGCAAGTTATTATCCCCATCCCCAATGCTTTGCAGTAACCAAGTAATGTAGTGTTTGAAATAGAACCAGTATGTCACTCTTGGCAGCTGACGATTTATAACTTGGTTTTATATACCTATATGTCATTGCTCCCACCCTAAAACATCTGTTAGCCTGCTTTGACTTAAGGTGTTATAGTGAACATGGCACTTTTTCATGAAAAAAAAAAACAAATCTGCTGGTCACGTTACACTCTTCAGGAGCATAGGTCTCATAACTTAGCGTAAAATTGGCATGTAAAGTCGTTTTCATTCTGTCCGAATGCAAATTCATCATTCAAATTTACAACATGGCATTATAAATGAGAGAAGTACACTTTTGAGTCAAGAGAACAGCTCTTGACAGATCTCTAGACCATTTGGGGTTCTGAGAGATGTGAAATGAGAGAATCTAAAATCTTTTGGCACAAAAAAAAATAATAATTTTGGATCAGTAAACAATCTCAAGAGACGTTTGGTCACTTCTATTGACTATTAATGCACTAATTCAAGAAATATTTATGTCGAAAATTCTGCTATTTACTCACGCTCATGTTCTTCCAAACCTGTCTGATGCTGAGCACAAATAAAGATCATTTGAAGAACTGTTTTTGTCTAAACAATTAAAGTCAGTGAGACCCAAAACAACTTTGGACCCCATTGACTTTCATTGTTAGGACAAAAGCTAGAACTTTGGAGAATGATAGGTGAGTAAATGATGACAGATTTTTCATTTTTGCATGAAATATACCCTTTAAACCAGAGGTTCTCAACCAGGGGGGCAAACGGGCCTCAAGATAACTTAAAATGATTACGTATAAGATGAATTAAGCAGTTAAATAAGTCAAAATAAATAAAAGTATGATTTGTGCGATTTGAAATATTATTATTATTATTATTTATAAAAATCTCAAAGAAGTAGTTCACTTTTAAAAAAACTTTTGCTGATAATTTACTCACCCCCATATCATCCAAGATGTCCATATCATTCTTTCTTCAGTCAAAAAGAAATTAAGGTTTTTGATGAAAACATTCCAGGATTTTTCTCCATATAATGGACTTCAATGGGAACCAAACGGTTCAAGGTCCAAAAGACAGTTTCAGTGAAAACTGCAAGCTGTTCAAAGGGCTTTAAACGATTCCAGACGATGAATAAGGGTCTTATCAAGTGAAACGATCGCTCATTTAAAAAAAAAAAAAAAGTTTACATTTTGTAAGCTCAAATGGTCACCTTGCTCTGTTCTGTGATGCGCGTTCGTGACTCTCCTGTTGATCAAAACGAACAAATCTTTTCCAGAGTCAACTCGCTCATTTCGTTCCGTTGAATGAACCAAATGACACGAAAAAAGATTTGTTCATTTTGATCAACAGGAGAGTCACGAACGCGCATCACAGAACAGAGAAAGGCGACCATTTGAGCTTATAAAACTTAAACTGTTATTTCTTTTTTAATGAGCGATCATTTGGCTTGATAAGACCCTTATTCATCATCTGAAATTGTTTAAAGCCCTTTGAACAGTTGAACAGACCTTGAGCCAATTGGTTCCCATTGAAGTCCAGAAAAATCCTGGAATGTTTTCATCAAAAACTTTCATTTCTTTTCGAGAACCTCTGCTTTAAATGATTTTTGAATTCCATTGATCAAATTGTGATTGAGGTACAAAGAACATAGAGATAATCATATTTCATCTTCAGAATGTAATTTGTTCCTTGGGATGTACTCTTAGTATTGCTAACATGCCTTCTTTGGAGTCCTCTACCCATTGAAACCCCATTGTGGGCTCTTTACATGCCTCAATCTCACTTGCATACTTTATTTAACATGTGTACCTCTGAGAAGCGCTGTAGAATACTGAGGTCGTGGCATCGCTTATTGTACTAGGACAGCCGTGTGCTGTTTTGTTAGCTCTCTACACGATGCTTCTCCTTTATGTGATTTGCATAGTATGCCTGCTATGTGCTGAGGACTGAGGTCATGATGATATACTGTGCAAAGGGTTTGCATATATCATCAAAGCTTTGTTTTGATGCACCACTCTTACATTGTGTGGAAATGCCAGCTAATCATCTCACGTCAGGCACTATGTTTTGCAAGAGCCTCTGTTCTAGACTAAAGTTTGAATCTTCGCGTTCGCAGGACGACCAACTCTACGCAGCAGACCAAGGGATGAGATGGGAGCATGACAGGTGGGTGAACCCTGAGGGCATCGTATTGCTTTCACACAGATGCCACCAGACATTTTTGGACGGAGGACCGGGGCGGGACGACTGGATCGGCGTCTCTCGCAATGCCCACCTTATTTTTTCAAAGTGCACCCGAGGCCTTGCGTCCCACTCGTCGTGGCTCTGGGTGCTTCACAGACTTGGCAGTGACTGAGAAATGTGAACAGATCACCAAGACAAAATGAGAGGAGACAAAGTGCAAAATAAAACCCAGTGATGGTACGTTTCCAGTCATTTTCAGTCTGTCCCTCCCATGGTGCTGTTCAGTTCAGAGGCCACTATTTTTATATTTTTTTTAACAGTCATCCCACACCAACTTAAACAATCGAGTCTTTGATTTCCGAGCCCAGGCGTACTCGAGGCCGTGGGCAAGTCGGCGAGATTTCCACGTGGCTCTCCTTTAAGTTCAACGGTCTCTTTTCGGATTCCGAGAAGCTCTTGCTGTTCTCGGGTGAGGAGCATTCGTGGGTTGGGGTGCTGCAGATGTAGTTATCATTGAGCGTCTGGTAGCCCTTGTGGTCAGACACAGAGGGCGGGATATTGTTGCCATTTAATGGAAGGCTTTCCGTGTGCTTCCCTGGAATTCGCGGTTTCTTCTGTTGCATGTTGGGGCACTCGCCTTCCTTCAGCATGGACTTCATCCTATCTCGGTTCCTGTATGCCACAAACAGCGACAGGACCACCAGGGAGAACACCAGTAAGGCACACACAACAATCAGTTCATTCCAGTACGTCTTGGTTTTCTGCGGCGACCACGTTTCCCCCGGCAGGATGATGGCCTCCCCTTGGGGCACGAGCTGCGTTCGGGATCGTCCAGTCAGGGTGGTGCTTTCGTGCTCGGCTTTAACGCAATAATTGGCCAGAAGTTGTTGGTAGCCGCCTTCTTCAGACCAACATTCATAGATCTCCTCCCTGTCCACTTGGGCTACAACCACCAGGCCGCCGTCAGGACTAGGGTAGACGAATCGCTCGGCGGTTTGACTGTACTCCCATCGCCTCTCAGCCAAGTTGGATCGCAGCTTGCAGGGTAGGACCGTAAATGTGTTGACAGGTATTTGTACTACATGACATGATGGAGCACCTGTGGGTAATAAATCAAACATAAATTAGCAAACCACCATGCAACCACTTCAATCACTAACAGTCATTTAGAGCATCTTGCCGGAGGCACTATGTAAATGCGTTCGGTCATGCCACAGTGCTTTGGTAACTGTCACAGCTTGCGTTAGCCTCATGCACTTTGTGGTTTGTTGGAAATAAATTCTACAAATTGTGATTCACACAGTTTAGATATTGTAAAGGGCCTTCCACTGTGAGCGTGGTAAAGCGATGTATGTCGCGATGACGCTCTGGAATCGAAAAAATGGATTCTAGAAACAATGGACCTATTTAGACCGGGAGTTATCAATCGCAGCGATTTCGCGGCTAGTGTGTCGGGTTTTTTTCCCTTGTCGCCCCACGATGAAACAAACCGTCCAATTAGATTTCACCTTAAGCCAAGTTCACACTACAGGATTTCAAGCCCGATTTGCAAATCGTTGAGCTTGCTGACAGGTCAGGGTGTTATCGCGTGCGAATCGCGGGGGATTAGCGGACGATGAACGGTTGCCAATCTGTTAGTATGAAAGAGCCAACAACGCATTAAAGACGCTCGCAGACGCCTCGCAGACGTGTCACCGAGCCCAGAAAAATACATAGACAGTGAAAGAAATGGACACAGCGACCCCGTTGATTTCAACGGAGAGAGTTGAAGCTCAACATGGGCACTCACTTCCTGATAGCCAAGCGTTCTGCGCAGGCTCAAACCGAGCTTGACAACGTAGATGTCACGTGAGCGAACTGACTGACGGTTGTAAATCTTTGCACAGAGACGGCGAAGCGCGACCTGGAGCAACTTTTGGTAAGTATTCTGATTAATTATTTTGTCATTTTGCTTCTATCTATGCCATGGGGTGATACACAGTAAAAGATTGCCTGCGAGGCTGTGCGAGCTTCTCCTCCTGTCTATACGGTAACTTTTCTACTGTGCGACAGACAGTCGAGTGGTTATGACGCAATTTTTAGCCTATTTTCACAAGAACGGCTTCTACGTGGCCATAACGTAACATACAAAGTAATGGAACCTTTTATACATTGTCGTGTTTCTTTAGAAATAAATAATGGATAAATGGAGTCTTTGGACGCCTCAGATGTAAAGTTATTCGCTGTCAAAGTGACGCCAAAATGAATGGGAGTCAATGGGATGCTAACAGCAGGTGATAGCCCACTACAATGGCGGCCCCCGGAGGCAGCTTCAACTTCAGGCTGACGGATTACCCCCTTGGAAAAATATCTAGCATGCTAGATATCCAGAGCTGTCACGCCACTCAACCTCAGTGATGTCATGAGCTCCAGCCAATCAGAGCAAGGCATGGGTTGAGGTCACCGGGTAAATCTTATTTTTTTAAGATACAGTTTGAAGCACTAGTTTCTGTCTGACGTCCATATTCGCGTTGTGTTCGCTGGGTATTGACAAACGTGCTGTTTTGCGTCATTTCCGGTTCATTATATCGCGTGATTTTTCGTGACAAAACGTGGTTTGTAGGCAAGATAGAATCGTTGAGTGACAGAGTTGTTGTCCACTCGTGTAGTGCGTTACCTGTTGTGGATCAATCATGTTGTGTTGTGTGGTGTGAACAGCTCAACGACTTGAACACTCCTGATTTCACAGAGAGCAAGTCATGTAGTGTGAACCGCACAGTTCAGCCCAACGTTTTACCCGTGTTATCAGTCTCGTTCTGAGTTCGCACATAAACAACTGACAAGCCATATGATTACGACGATACTGTATATGTTATGTGTGTTTTTCATGTGGCTCGGGGGCTTTTTTATAACAATAAAGAATGAGAAATGCTAAGCAGGTGTTGCAGGCTAAAGTCAAATGGGAAAACCTACGAGATACATACTCATGAGGAGAAATGTATTCTTGGACAGCGCCACCTATTGTGCCGGCGTGAATTAGCTGAAGGCAATCAATCGTTTTGCCTTCAGTGTGAAAGCGCCGTTCGTCAGCCATTCGCTAAGCTTTATAGTGTCATGCTCAGTGTGAAAGGGCTTTTAAGCATGGCTTTTACTCACGTGGTGACGTCGGCCTTGGAGAGCGAGGGCTTGGCATTTTGCACATGGCAGTGTTGGCATCATCTATATCTTGTTGCCATTGACTAGGAAGAACAGGGCACAGACTAAAATTCAGTTCATACAGTAAACTAAAAAAAAAAACTTCAAAAGTTTGGGATCAGTAAGATTTAAATACTACTTTTATATGACAAGAACACATTAAATTGATCAAAAGTAACTAGGGCTGTCAAACGATTAATCGCATCCAAAATAAAAGTTTGTGTTTACATAATATATGTGGGTGCACTGTGTATAATTATTATCTATCTATATATATATAAATACACACACATGCATGGATATTTGAGAAAAATATTATTTATATATAAAATATTTATATTTATATATAATATAAATTTTATATAAGCAGTATATACATGAAAATATTTCTTAAATATATACAAGCATGCAAGTGTATTTATATATATAAAATAATAATACACAGTGCACCCACATATATTATGTAAACACAAACTTTTATTTTGGATGCGATTAATCGCGATTAATCGTTTGACAGCCCTAAAAGTAACAGTAAAGGGATTTCTGATGTCATAAAAGATTTCTATTTCAAATAGATGGTGTTCTTTTGAAATTATTATTCATCAAAGGATCCTGAACCATATCACGGTTTGCAGAACTGTTTTCAACATCGATAAAAAATAATGTGTGTTTTGTGAAAATAATTTATGTGTTAATGTCTTAAACTGTATTTTAATACTTGTTATTATACTAAGTGAAGTGCTATAAATGCTAGTACAATTCATGGAAATATGCTAACCTCTTAGTTGGAGCATGTTTGATATTTGAACACTGCTTTCCTGTCCAGGCACAGTACGGATCTCTAGACAGCACACACTCTCCACAGCTCTGGTAGTTGGAGCAGTTGGCAAGAGGGATTTCAACCAGCCCAGAATAGCTGGACACAAACAACAGTCCCTGTTGGAAATGCAAACACATCAGAAATGAGACACTTTCTATATGTCTAGATTACAATCAAGCATCCAGTGTATAAAGACGCTTGCAAAACATACTGTAAATGCTAATAGATGATAATTGCAGTAAGCCCTTTTAAAACAGCTCATATGGATATACATATAAAGTATAGACTGAGTAGTGCGTAGACAGAGCAGACACTGTTTGTTTCCCATCTGTTCACACAGTTCCCCAGAGAAGAAAACAGGGACGCAATTATCTCCCTCCCAGGCCTCGCTATCTCTACGGTTGAAGGGTCCTTTTTCCGTCCGCGCTGTCATTTCACTAATGCATAATGTTCTTCAGCATGTATAACAAGTACAAAGAAAGTAAATGAGTTTAAGGCACCTTCTCATCATCCAGTTCGATGTGTTGAACAGAAAGAGGCTCGGGGAAAATCACCAGCTCTTCAATAATATACATCTTTTGATTAACGTTGATGGCTTTGTGAATCCTGCCATCATCTGAAACGAAACATAAGTGATATGAGACGAAGCTTTCATGATTTTTATACCCAAGAATACATTTAATATTGCTACTGGTTGTAGTATTTCAAGATTTAACACTTACTGGACTGAAGCAACTTAGATTTACTTAAAATCAGATATGATACATCATGCTTTTGATGAACAATTATTTTTACATTTCTCAATGATCATGAAATTGAATCATTTTAAATCTACAGGGCTTTGATCATACAAAACCAACATGCTTGTGCACAAACAGAATTTCAGAATTGGCCTCCATTCGATTCATGATTTGGAATTTGAATTGAATTGACTCCGCCCCACAGGAAGTTGAATTGGAATTGAAATGACACGAAGTGGAATTAAATTCATGGCAATTCAAAGAAATTCCACACAGAAAGAATGTGTTGAATCTCACATACATTCAGTGTTAGGAAGATTACTTTGGAAATGTAATTGCTTAGTTATATAAGTTACCCATATGTGGTTTGGATTACTTTATTTGGATTACTTCAATGTAAAGCACTTTCCTTTTAATTTGATTAGTAACTAATTGAATTACACATATTACATCAGTAATACTAAATACAATTACACTCATTTTGTAATTTAATAACATTATTTCATTACACGTAACTAGTCACTCTTCAACCCTGCATACATTTTGCATACAAGAATTTAATTGAAGAATTGACGAAATGAATTCGAATTCAGGAGTCATTCTCAAATCAATTCTGAATTGTGCACAAGCCTGCAAACTAAGCAATTAAATATCACCTTACTAAGACATTATTGTGATTATCATAAAAGCCGGATGTATCAAATATACTCACAGCTAATTTCATATATCTTTCTTTGGTAACACTTTACAATAAGGTTCATTATTTAACATTAGTTAATGTATTAACTAACATGAACTAACCATGAGCAATACATTTGTTACAGTATGTGTTAATCTTCGTTGATGTTAGTTAGTGATAATAAAGCTGTTCATTGTTTGTTCATGTTAGTTCACAGCGCATTAACTAATGTTAACAAGATTTTAATAAAGTATTAGTAAATATTGAAATTAACGTTTACAAAGATTAATAAATGCTGTTCATTATTAGTTCATGCTAACTAATGTAGTTAACTAATGTTAACTAATGAACCTTATTGTAAAGTGTTACCCTTTCTTTATGTTTTACAGAAAATGAGTAAATGATGACATTTGGGGGTGAACTACCCCTTTAAGCACTGAATCGGTAGTTACGAACCAGCATGAATGTGTAAAGCAACAGAAAAAGTCATGCTGCGTGATATAAAGGTTTGATTTCCCAAGTCTAAAAATCCTGGACTTAAAATCCCTTATTGTAAAACTTAATGGGGATTAGGGCAACAATCAAAAAGCCTTTAATGCAGGAATATTAATATAAAATCAGATATATTCCTGAGCTTTAGATGCACATACGGTGTTCTAAGACCTCACCTGTGCCGATGAAGAGCACATCGTAGGACTTGTGAAGAGCCTGTACTCGGTGCACAGCGAGCTGCGTGTAGCGCACGTTTCGTTTGAGGAGCAGAGGCTGGCTTCGAATCACGCTATCCATGAGGAAGTGGTCCTTCACGAAGTTCAGCACTTTATCAGGCATGTGCAGAGAGGACGAGATCCCCTGGGCACGGGCCGAGTTGGTGATGCACTGCAGGAAGATGGAAAAAGATCCTTCAGAAACACCGCACAATATCGAAATCGCTCTTTTTCTCAGTGATGTTTGGTGAGCGGCAGATTAATTACGGCAAAATCAATGCAACTTTCAACACACCGATGTCAATTCAGATTGGAAGTGTGATTGAAAAGGTCGGTAACACTTTAGTTTAGGGTCCAATTCTCACTATTAACTATTGCTTATTATTAGCATGCATATTGGTTGTTTAGTACTTAGCACATATTAAAAGAATAGTTCACTTTGAAATTATTTTTTTATATTTAGACATGACTGTGATTGCAAGAGGTAAAACAATATAAATACTATTTGTTTTCTCACACAAACCGCTCGTTTCGTGTCTTAGGCCATTAGTGTGTACTTACATTTACGAGTCATTAAATCATGTTTAATTTGGACTTCTCTGTGCATGCTCTTTGAGGTGGTGACCATAGACCTGCATTATATGACTGACTGACTTATTTGATGCCCTTGAGGTAAGCTAAAACATATCAAAAATTAATTTCAAAGTGAACTATCCCTTTAATGCATTCTGTATGACTATATTCTACATCCTTTAATCCTACCCAAAACCTAAACTTAGCAACTACCTTAACAACTTAACAACTACCGACTTTAATTTAGGCTACAAGATAGTTTAGAAGAGATGGGTCAGTTTTGTCAATTAGTCGTCCACCATCTTTTTTCAGTGTTTTTCGGTGTCATTGAGTTGTTTTTGAACATAACACGAAACGTACCGCTCCAGGTCTGGGTTCTGGTACTTGGTGGTTGTAGGTGTACCACTGCTGCGTCTCCCGATTAACTTCCCGGTAACGTCCATTAAACGCCTCTTCAACCTGATCCATGGTAAACGCACATACAGCTGAGCTTCCTGAAGCACCTTTGTACCTGTACACACAAGCACAACATTCATTACAATCAGTCTACATATGCACATTCATCAAAGAGCGATCACCGAAAAATCAGAGTGCACACAAAATGCAAAAGCGTCTTATTTAACCTCAGACATAACAGGTGCGTAGGCGGACACAAGAGGGAGGCTATTCTGAGTCTCGCTGCACATCTCCTGCCTGTCCTGTCTCTTGTGCCCCATGTTAATGCACTCAATCAATACCCACAACTCCCACACTAAGTACAGCAAAAGGAGTCTGGTTGAGTGCCAGGCAGGGTTCAATAACAGAAATGAATGCTGAATTTCTTCTTTTTTATGGTATTCACTGTATTATCTGTATTCTAAATGCCATTTCAGGTGATGCGTTACCACTGTGAGGTGAAGACTCCATAAAACACTGTACTCTTCCAGGCCTCTTTGCTGGGGGTCAGTACAAACATGTCCTGGATGATGTTGAAGGGGAACCCGTCGTCAGGCAATGAACACAGGAGCTGGGCTTTCAGAAAGGTTGTCCATTTCTTTTGAAGAACCCTCTCTCCACCTTTATCACCCTGTGGACATACAGATAGAAATCAGTGTTATTTTAGTTTTATGCTATAGAATTGATCCACATTTGTTAGTATTCATTTTAGTTTAAGTAATTTTGTTATGTGCTTTTGTCATTTTTAATATATCTATTTAGATAATTTAGCATTATTTTAATTTTAATAATTAGCATTATTTTATTTAATTTTTTTATAATTTCAGTACTTAAGCTTACATCTTATTTCTATCAGTAAGTTGTCAAAGCAACATCTCTAATTTAAGTTTTTTTATCTCTTTTTTATTTAAGTAATTTAAGTTTTTTTTGGAAATAGGCTCATTTTACAACTCCCCCAGAGTTAAACAGTTGAGTTTTACCGTTTTCGAATCCATTCAGATGATTTTCTGATATTTTGAAGAATATCAGTAACCAGACAGTTTCTGGTCTCATTGACTCCCATAGTATATTTTTTTCCTACTATGGAAGTCAATGAGACCAGAAACTGTCTGGTTACTGATATTCTTCTAAATATCATAAAATCATCTGAATGGATTCGAAAACAGTAAAACTCAACTGTTTAACTTTGGGGGAGTTGAAAATGAGCCTATTTCCAAAAAAAAAGTGGAGTATCCCTTTAAAAGTAAATTGAGGAGTATATGTGCAAAGACCATTTCTGACCACAAGAGGGAACTAGAAGCTGCTGTCGATTCCAACAAGCCAATGGAAACGCTGATTAAGATGGCAACTTTCTCTCTTACGTAAAGATTTCGAACTGGACAAGGACTGCAGCTTCTATCACATGTTGTGCATTAAGACTGAGTACAGCAGAGTGTTTTTGTGATTGAGGCCCTGAGGGTGTACAGGCCTTAACTTTGGTACTTTAGAGTCCCTTTAAACAAAACAGGCAGAATAATAAAGGGCTTGAACGTCTACCAGAAGTGAAAACACAGCCAGTTATGAGAATTTCCCCATTAATATTATAGATCTATTGTTGTGATATAAGGAAATGATGTAAGTAATTCTTGGATTAAAGACAATTTCTTAATCTGATACTGATTTGACTTCTCCCTTTGTTGTTAAGTGTGATGCACTATTCATGCTGTAGTTCATTTTACAAAAAGTACCCTAAAAGTAAGACAAATATTGGTTTAAAAACGTAGAGGCAAGGTGATCTAAAGATAAAAAAAGAGAAAAATTCATAGTGGAAACTTGAGGGAAGGGATGTTGGATAATAAACCCTATGACACAGGTGAAGAAGAACAAAGCCACACAATGAATCAACTAAATATTTTTGTTTCTTCAGGAAAGCTTTATATTAGTGTCAACCCTCGCTCAAGCAGAACTTCACACTGAACACCTGAACAAACACATGGCCAGAGAGATACAATCAAAGACGGGAACAGAAAGAGAGAAGTTTGGGCAAAGAGCAGGGCAGAGAAACAGACAAGAAGCACAAATGGCCTGAACGACAGCCAGAGGTACGTAACGCAGAGGTCCCAAAAGCACAATTTGTATTCATCCATCTCAGCTGCTCTCCAAAGAAAATGAGCTTTCCTTTAATTATAATATTATTGTAATCCAGCACGCAGGACAACGCCTTCCCACACCAGCAGGACCGGCAACAACACATTCCAATAAAATCTTTTAAAGGGAAACTCCCACCCATCATTGAACAGCAGTTCAGCACTGTAAACCTACAGCTGAAGGCTAAGTTACACGGTAATCCATGAACGTACATACAGTAAATGACGTTCTTCACAATATAAATCTAATTTATATTCACTAATTAATCCATCATTGCTTTATTGGTTTTGGTACGTTAAAATCTGTAATATTATGCAATAGCATATTAATACATATTTAAATTGTTATTATTTAAGGGTATTATTAATGAGGTTCAGTGTTCAATATTACAATATTGCATTACTCCCTAAAAAAGTAACTACTTTGTTACTTTTTATGGAAAGTAATCCATTACATTACTTTTGCATTACTTTTTCTTTCTGGGATTGCTGGTTTGTTTTTTAATAACCAAAAAAAAATTTCAATTATTTGTATTATTATTCAATTATTTTTATTATTCATGTTTAAATGATTAAATTTCAATAATTTCAAAATTTCAATTCAATTAATTTCAAAATTTCATTATTGCAGGTTTGCAATTCAGTTTTTATTCATTTTGAAGAATACTGAATCAGTTTTTGTGCAAGTGAGATGAGTAAATGCATGCACACATTTATGTATTTATGTATAATTGATATCAAATGTATATGTATATATAAATAGGGCTGTCACATGATTAATCGCGATTAATCGCATCCAAAATAAAAGTTTGTGTTTGCATAATATATGTGGGGGCGCTGTGTGTGTATATATATATATATATATATATACACACACATGCTTGTATATATTTAAAAAATATTTTCATGTATATACTTTATATAGATTTATATATAATATATATTATATATAAATATACATATTTTATATATATAAATATTTTTTTCTTAAATATACATGCATGTGTTATTATGTAAACACAAACTTTTATTTTGGATGCTATTAATCGCAATTAATCGCGATTAATCGTTTGACAGCCCTATATAAATATGTGCATAGGGTCTTTTTACAACTGCAGAACAGTTGTATCTGCAAAGTGCTCCTTTAAAAACTTAAAAAGGAGAAGCTTCCACATACTGTATGCCATTCATTTCAAATGAAACTAAAGGATCTGCTTATTGTCATTCTGAGTACAAATGATATGGTACGCTTTCAAATCCAAACACCAGGTGCAATTCAGAAAGAATCTTAAAACAATAAAAAACTGTTGCACCACGTAAATGGATAGTTTGACATGCATCACAGTTTCCACTGGAATCTGACATGGTCATCTGTGCAAAAGTGCACCAATATCCATACTATAGTGACACGTAACTGGAGGTAAGTTAGGAGTCGAAAAGAAAAGAAACCAAAATATAGAAAGAGCAGTGGAATTGAAATCATTCTCAGACTTCAAAAGCAAGACGAGAAGGCAAATGAATCTTGCAGATGTTGCACTCTGCTCATGCACCGTTCAGAACAGACCCTGGCAACGTAGAGAGAGACTCTCTTTAGATTCAGATCACTCCTTGAGCGCAAATGCACCGATTTGAGATGAAGAGCATAAGCAAAAGGAAATTAAATAATATAAAATAAAAAAGGGCTTGTGCATCGGCCCGTGAGCCTGGCTTTGTTGCATGTCACATCACAGAATGCCAGACAATTAAGTCCACTAATGGGCTTTGCAGGAGTCATTACATTTGTTTACTACATGAGAGGAGATAAGGTGCAAAACCAAGAAAATGCCGCTTATAAACATAATCATTGCATTCCCTTCCTCATGGCTGGGCTCCAGTGGATCTGGTTGGAGGAATATGGGGCATGCTAAAAAGGGAACCTTGGATAATGTTTAAGGTACTGGATGCCAATAAAGCGGGACACATTCCCCTGGCATTGCAACCGTTTCACTGTCAGGAGGCATTTCATGCAGCCCGTGTGATAATCCACATTACAAGACGGGAAGACTGGAGCGTGTGAACCCTCTATCGGCTGCCACTCGGTAAATTAGCTGCTGTGAAAACGGAAACCATTAGGTGATTCTTCTTTAGTGAAGCTGGTTAGAAAAGCCTATTTGAATGAGCTACATGGCCATCACTGATTCATCACTGTCATCACTGCGTTTTAAAATATCAACGGGTCACTGTAAAAAATGAAATGATCAATAAGTTGACAACGTGTTTTTACATTGCTTTAACTCATCAAAATAAGTGAAGTTAAGCAATTTTCAGCATTTTTTTTTTCGTTATACAACTAACTTTTTTTTAAGTTATAATTATTTTTTTAAGTCAGTTTAATGTAATTTACATTGAAATTACTTAAACATCCAAGTTGATTGTACTCAAAAATTTAAGGCAGCTTTATTTATTTTTTATTTTTGCACAGCACCGTTTTAGTCGCTAGTAGATGCCATAACTCACTTTAAAAATAAATATTTTCAAGATGTGTTAACATTTTTTCTTTTGTCAAATCAACTTAAATCATTTATTTAGTTCAGATAACTTATTATTTTGAGTTTCTGATGATTAAATCAATCTCCTTCATTGTATTAACTCACTTTTTCCAGTTCAATCAACTTAAAATTTTAAGGCAACCAGGTTACTTACTTTTTTAAGTTAAACCAACAATTTTTTTTTTACAGTGTACGCTATCTGAACCCAAAAAGCATTTTCCTCATTTGATTGACATTCAAGAGTTTTGACTAATTTATCAGAAAGCAATGCTAATATTCAGACCAACAGCTTGGTTTTATGACACTATAAAAACAGAAGTAAACATTTTGAAACACATTTTAGAGATGTCTTTGCCTATATTTATAGTGCTAAACAAAGTTTTAAACAAATCCAGCACACGTTTGTATTTAGTACCTGTGTTTCGTTCATTGACTCACTCTTACAGACAAGTTTTCATTCCTGAATGAATCAGTAGTTTGAACAATTTGGTTGGATCAGTGATTTGATTATTTTTCCATAAATAGAGTCACTAATTAATCAATGGTTTGAACAAACTGGTTAAGTCAATGATTCAATGAATCTAAATCTATGAATCGATGAATCTAATCAAAAAAGAGATTCACTTGTGTCGATTCCTGAATGATTCAGTGTTGTGAAGAAATCGTTTGAGTGATTCAGTGTTGTGAAGAAATCGTTTGAGTGATTCAGTGTTGTGAAGAAATCGTTTGAGTGATTCAGTGTTGTGAAGAAATCGTTTGAGTGATTCAGTGTTGTGAAGAAATCGTTTGAGTGATTCAGTGTTGTGAAGAAATCGTTTGAGTGAATGATTCAAAGACTTGCATTAATATATTAATGATATATTAGCTCTCTTTTTATTCTCTAGCAGTGAAGAGATCACACATGATGTCATCGGCCAATAAGTCACACGGCATTTATGATTTTGGTGATAGGTTCAAAAAATAACTGGAAGCACCCATAGGATAGCTTTCTACAGGTTTTGGAAAGAACTGTGAAGAATGTGTGTTTTGTGTGTGTGCAATGCGCATTTTCAGCTGCCCCTCAAGTCAACAGATGAATGCTAATATTTGCTGGGCAGAGATAAGAATTGGAGGCGGACCAAGCAAAGGGAAAGCTCTGCATTGAGGAATGTGTCTTTGAAACACAAACCTCCTAATCTCTCTGAAAGGCAGCGGAGCTCTCTCACCTCAGTGTGACACATGAAACGATCACATGGCCATGTGAGCACACACACACACACACACATATGTGCACTAATATTAACATGCACAAACATAATGCCATGTATTCCTTTACACTTAATTGAGGGGTGAATAAATGGTGTGTGAGTACATCCAACTCCATTCAACAATGTGTTTACACCGAAGCGCCCCTCACCTTACACACGCGAGCGATGCGTGACACAATAGTGTTGTCAAAGAAATCAAACTCCTTTCCCGCTTCACTGAAGAAGAAGTAAATCTTGTCATCATCGCCGACTGTGTTGCCTTTGGGCAAACTCTCCTGAATGTAGGCTGAGCCCACAAAAGCGGGGTCTGTGGGAGAAATAAAAACAAGTGTCAATCCAAGGCATGGACAGTACACCGAGACTTTATGTCACAAATATAGCCACTGGTCCACTTGAAACCCCTTTTGTATGTCAATCTTTAGTTGTAGTTACAATAGCAGATCTTTTGTTACACTATCAGAGTGCTCAGGATCGATTTTGCATATGCGCGTCTCTCGTCAACTTTGCCACTTATGCCAAAATATTAAGTATTATTCAGCACTCTTTAGTAAAGTGAGAAGGGTTTGACTGTGTAAACTGAAACTAAATTGATTTGTTTTATTCTCTGTAGTCTTGCTTTATATGAATAACTCTCTGCTGTGCCAATATGGCCTCTTAGTGGTAACTTCAGGAGGACTGATCCCTTAAGAGAAAACCATTTACTCATATGACGAGTCACTTAGAGAAAGTTCACCCAAATATTTCATTTCTATTTTAAATATTAGATGAAAAACTTCAACTTAAAAACTGAAATGAAAATTTGTTGTGTTGCCTTCTAACTGAAATAAATAAGTCGAAGAACAAAAATTACTAAAACTAAAACAACAATTAGTTTAAAAAATGTTAAAGGTAAACTGAAATACTTTTAAAAAATGGCGACTGGAAGGTCTCATTTATAAAACTGTGCGTAGGATCCTTACTAAAAGTGTGCGTGCACCCGAAAGCCAAAAATGGCGTACGCCAAAAAATATTCAGATTTATAAAACCGTTCGTACGCCAGAACCTGTGCAGAATTCATGATAGTCACAAATTTTGTCATGCTTATTTGAGTTAAGAGAACTAATGGGGATGTTCGGGGAACTAATGGGGATGTCTCGTGACCAACTGAACATGTGTTGCCAACAGGGACGGTGTAGAGAGCCCTCTGGTGGACAAACTATACAACTCCAACACACATGACATGGTTCAAGCGTGTTTCGTCCGTTTTTTATTTTATTTTTGAAATATTCATTTATCGGCCATTATAACTGCCGATACCGATGGTTTGGTAAATGCCTAATATCGGCCGATAATATCGGCCTGCCGATATATCGGTCTGGCTCTATTCTGTATATATAAGTAAATACTATAAAAGTATATAAATAATACTAAATTCAATGGACTGTCAATAGAGGGATAGTAATATCTCAGATTTCATTCAAAATCATTAAAGTCTTACCTTGAAGCCAGTTCAGTGAGTTTTCGGTCTTTAAGGCTGTGCCCTGGCCAAGGCTTTTGTAAATGATGGGTTCGTTCCCTTGGAAGTTACTGACTGTGCCGGCATACAGTTCTCCATCTGCAAAACCATCATTCAAAGCAACAGACATTAATGAAGCGAATCAGAAAAGGGTGTCGCAAACTCAACTTTTCGTAGCGCGTATAGTATCGGCATGATCTATTAGAATGCACTTAGACCAGTGTTATTGTTAAAGGGATACTCCACTTTTTTTTTGGAAATAGGCTCATTTTACCACTCCCCTAGAGTTAAACAGTCGAGTTTTACCGTTTTCAAATCCATTTAGCCGATTTTTGGATATTTAGAAGAATATCAGTAACCAGACAGTTTCTGGTCTCATTAACTTCCATAGTATATATTTTTTCCAGAAACTGTCTGGTTACTGATATTATATCAGTAACCACACATAGTATAATATCAGTAACCAGACAGTTTCTGGTCTCATTAACTTCCATAGTATATATTTTTTCCTACTATGGAAGTCAATGAGACCAGAAACTGTCTGGTTACTGATATTCTTCTAAATATCAAAAATTGGCTGAATGGATATGAAAATGATAAAACTCAACTGTTTAACTCTGGTGGAGTGGTAAAATGAGCCTATTTCCAAAAAAAAAAGTGGAGTATCCCTTTTAACTAAATCTAGATCTAAAGGATCATTAAAATAAAGCTGAAATAAAAAAAAAAAATTATTAAAACTAGATCAATAAATAGAAATGTTGCCTTGGAAACTAAGAGTGTGTTCACACTTGGCAGATGTGGTTTGATTAAAATTAACTTTGGTGCGATTGATCTGTTAGTGCGGTTCATTTGAATAAGTGTGAGCACTTTGAAAATGAAGTCCTAAGCGAATCAGGATTCAATGTATCATTTTCTTTTTACACCCTAACTGAAAGAAAAAAGTTTAAGTTTTATACAATGATGCAAAAATACTAAACGTTGCACCACTTTTTGTAGCACGCACCAGCTAGGATGGCCGTGGACTTGTATTCAGGGTTGAAAGGACACCGGCTTCGACCATCTTCGGTGACGATTTCTCCCATTTCACTGCGCACCAGGGAAAAATCAGACGTGTTCTGGAGGGAAAAAGACACAGGGACATTCTTGTAAAGACAGCAAGCACTGTCTCTTGTCTCGACTGTGCAGATCTAAACAAGGACCTTATTTTGCTGAACAGAACGTCATGTTATTAAGAACAGGGTGAACGCACTCAAAGCGAAGGGATGATGTGTACTATCGACTGTGTGTGGGCCAAGGATCCTGATAAAAAGGATGTTTGGAGACAGGACGTGTCTTTATAGGGGCATAAAGGTAAAATGTAAATCTGCAAACCATTTCAGGGGACAGCTGTCACAGAATCGGCGTGTGTATGCAAAGTACACTATGCTTAAGCTTCAATCTTATTGGTCCGCGTCGACCCCTCAAGTGCACAGACCAATCCCGGCATCGTCTCCAGAGTGAGGGGTCTAAGGAAAGTGCAGGGCAATAATAATTTCTCATCCGAACGGCATTTACCCTCGGGGAAAGCGGAAGAGTGTGTTTCCGAGGACATTTTGATTGACTGAGTAAATTACATGGATAATTAATTCCTCCCCTGCAGTCTGTTAAAAGCATGGATGGAGGTGGTGAAATCCTGCAGAAGAATAGAACAAAATGAAACAGTACTTACGATGTAAGCGCAGATAGGGCTGAAAGCATACGTTCCACACACGTACAGGTGAGTGCCGTTCACACGCAGTAAAATCTTGATGTAATTGAAGCAGTCGGTCTGGAATGAGAAGGAGAAAGCAAAAGGAAATGCATAAGAGAGGGAGAGACACACAATGATTTAAGACATGAATGTGACGATTATTAAATTGATGGGCGTTGATGCACCTATTAGATCACTTGCGCTGCATCCGAAATCGAATACTTCAGTAGGCCAGTAGAGTATATCCGAATACATGGTATTTCAAAAACAGTAGGCATGAGGCCACAGGTTGAATCGACGCAACTGTCACATCCTGACAACATGGTGGATATAGTCTGGATTACATTCATACTACACACATTCTATAAATTATATAAATTCTACACTATATCATTTTTTTAATGGTTGCAAACGCGAAGTAAGTTCTAATTCAAATGTAGTACCTACTCAGTACGTGATTTCGGATGCACCGTTGGACGACTTATTTAGCTAAATATTAGGCCGTGTGTCCACCAAAGCGTTTTTAGCCAGCTGAAAACGCTAGACGCTCTGCTGAAGACGCCGTGCTTTGGCCGCTTGAGAGCGTTTTGGCAGCGCAGCGTTTTTTCCGTTGAGACGTTTCGTTGCTATGATACAGAATATCCGCAGCAGTTTGAATGTTGACAGTTGGTCGGTGAGGTATTAGTCCCGCCCTTCCTCCACTGTGATTGGACGGCTGGGTAAAAAGTGACAGTGATGAGCGCTGCGCTTTAACCAAAGTTGAACATTTTTTCACTCCCAGCGACCAGTAAAAAACGCTGGGCGCTCGGCGCTTCAGCGTGAAAAAAACGCTCAGCGCCTCGGTACGCTCATGCCGTTTAAAAAATTGAAAACAATTGAAAACATACGCCAGGCGCATGGAAAAACGCTTTGGTGGACACACGACCTTAGTCCTGTCAAACGATTAAAATATTTAATCGTGATTAATCGCATTCATGTCAGTTAACTCGCGATTAATCACACATTTTTATCTATTCTAAATGTCTCTTGATTTACTTTTATTCCATTATTTTTTCTAATTTGAATGCTCTTATCAACATGGAAAAGTGGATCGGCTTGCTTTGTGCAAATGTTTTTTTATTGAAAACAACATTGATATACTGTGGTCAATTTCACACTAAAACATTTTCACTTGGAGCAAATAATCTTGCACACAATGTAACACTGTCCATCAATAAAAGGGTGAAAGAAATACTGACGAGGTCCTGAAATTGATGAAGGGGCGGAGAATTCGCATCAGCTGTGTGTGTGTGTGTGTGTACTTGGCCATCAGGTGGTATTTCAGAGTGGACGTGCTGTTGCGATGATGGCTCAGTTCAAAATGTCAAAAACTGCGACGAAGCAACAAAACGTCCTCGCGCGGCGCAAGCAATTGAAATGAACGGGTTTCATTGCACAGCGCCGCGTATGCCACGTCCTGTTGCAAAAGCATGTGGAAAAAAACTACAAAGTTTGCTAGGCCAAAAAGACTGTTAATCTCACGATAAATAAATGAATCGCGTTAAAATGGGTTTGCGTTAACGCCGTTAATAACGCGTTTTATCCATACAATAGAAGTAAAAAATGTTCCAATGCTGTTTGATTGCTAACATACTTCAAAATACCTCCTGTTGTGTCCCACAAACATTAAACAGGTTTGGAATGGCATGAGGGTGATTGATAATGAATTTTCATTTTTGGGTGAACTATCCCTTTAAGAAAAACCTTTTTTTCCCCTTGTTTTACATATGATACTATTCCAAATTAATTTTCAAAGATGGATAAAATTCACACAAAAAAATAGTTTGAACGTTATATAAAGGTGAATGTAAGCACCAGGCTGTGTGCCCAAGTGTAGCTTGGCTGTGGCTCAGAATTTGTTTTCACATCACTAGGTTTGATCTAAATCCTCTGTAATAGTCTGGGAGAGGTTTCTGGCAGCTGCGTGTCATCGGTCTCAAGAAACAGCAGTTATTACTGTCTTCATCAGGGTCCCAACATCCATCCAAACCTGGCTCTCAAGACAAATCAATCTGGCAGCAAATTAAGCATGCGGATTATTAATCTAATAACAGCCCTTTCAGGAAAATTACAATGTGGACTTGTCGAGGCAACAACGGACCCTATGAACTGAAAGTGGTGCGATGGGCAGTTTCTCAGATTCAAATTTTGCCCGACATCTACTTTAGAGACTACTTACTTGAATTACAGTAGATGAATTGACATGAAATGTCATGTTCAAATATACAGACATCTCTTGGTTTGATGAATATCTCATTCACTTACCAGTAAGTCTTTCCCTTTGAAACTGCACTCGTCTCTCTTTCTCTGTGGCGTGCTCCATGTTAACTGAAAAAGTGAAAATCGCAAGCTGACTGAATTGAGCAGTTTCAGCAGCTATAGTGCTGCATTTACAGACACATCATGTATTAACAAGCACATTTGCATTGAGTGGGCCAACAGTGTGTCACCTTGGCTGTAACGTATCCTTTCTGTTATATTATGTTCAAAATGAATCAAGCAAAATATTTCCAGTGAACTGTAAAAGTCTATTTATGACTTAAAAAAGTTCATTTGTTGCAAAGTATGATGTCAAAATACAATAAGGAGGAAGTGGAACAACTGGTAAAGTAGGACACTTGCACTGAATGAAAAAGGACACAAAAACCCAATAAAAGTATGAGTGATCTTTATGACACGATATCTATGTGTGATGATTGGATTGAAATTCAATCCATTATTCATTGATAATCAATGTCATTAATGTAACAAAATTGAACAACATAGTATGGCATTGATGTACCGATATTTTTTTTTAAATATACCAATGACAAATGATCAGAAAGTGACCCATTTTACCTGCGTTCACACTTATGTGTGTGCCAAAAATGAAAATTGTCATCATTTACTCACCCTCAAGTTGTTCCAAACCTTGACCTTGAGTTTCTTTCTTCTGCTGAACACAAAAGAAGATATTTTGAAGAATGTCGGTAACCAGACAGTTGATGGTAGCCATTGACTTGCATAGTAAGGGAAGTCATAGTACCGTAACCTATCTGGTTACCGACATTCTTCAAAAATATCTTCTTTTGTGTTCAGCAGAATAAAGTCATATAGGTTTGGAACAATATAAAGGTGAGTAAATGATGACAGAATTTTCATTATTGGGTGAACTATCCCTTTAATTGATGCGTAGATTCAACATCAATGATATTCTACTCTCATTTGAACCTTAAATGATTAATTCCCATATTACAGACTGATGCACACGCTTATAAATTCTCCAAAATGCAACACACAGACATACTCACATTACGCTGCAGCTGTGTTCTGCTGATATCGGTGATATTGAGTGCGAAGAGAGTCTCTCGAGCGCCAACGTAAAGCATGTTATCCTCTTTACTGAGGAGCAGAGAGGTGTAATTGAAGACTCCATTGGGTGAAAATCTCTTGGCCGACCTCTCGTTTGCATCTATGAGTAGATATGGAAAAAAAGAGAGGGGAGAGGGTGGAATGTCAGAAAACCCAGCCAATAAGATTTACTACTGGAAATAAGATAAATGTGCAAAAGTCAGAAATGTGATTGTGCTTTTCAGCTGGTTTCAACTGATATTGTCTTGTGAAAAGAAACCCAATAATCTATATGTTTTATTTACAACTGTGAAAAATCTAAAAGACTGTAAAAATGCAACAGTAAAAACCTGTTAATTGGTTAAAGTGATAAGTAAGTTTCCCTAAGTAAAAACTGTAATAGATTATTATTATCTATTATAATAGATCATTTTACGGTAAAAAAAAACCAAATGATCTAATAATTCACAATGAAAAGCTGTAAACTGAAATTCCTAGATCTTCATATTTGATGTTTTTTTTTCATTGTATTAATGTTTGTTCTTAGTTTGTATATATATATATATATATATTAGTCATGTATATTAGTGTTTTATATAGTTTATATAGTTTTTTGTATGTGTGCATGACACAATTTAACTTCTATATTTTACCTCAGCTTGTGGAAAACCTAAAGGTTATGATTTTTGATTTATTATGGTTTTCTCTTTACCATCAGTGTTAGGATGGTGGATGCCAGTATATGTTATAAGTTAAAAACTGATTTTAGTAGCAATTTGATTCACTGGTTTGATTATATATATATATATATATATATAGCTATAGTTTAAAACTGTAAAATTTAGAGTAGTTCTGTAAATAGGTTTACATTTTTACTGCATTTTTACAGAATTATTACGGCCACCACAGCTTGTTCTGTAAAATCGATTGATTATTTTTGTATACGGTTTTAATATTATCGTACAAAAATGCCATAAAATAAAACACTAAAATACATAATATAATATTACGATAAAAAAATATATATATATATTCCTTGCGAGTTAACTAATATTTTATGTAGTCTAGGTATTTTCTTATACTTTGCATATCTTTTAAATCATGATTAATATTAATATTTTAATTAGGGTATTTGTTATTTAAATATATATATATATATATATATATATATATTTACTTACAATTATTTATTTATTTAATTTCCACCCTCCTGAACAAACCTTAGATTCACCTTTAGTTCATGACGTACCCATTACGAAACTCTGCTTTAGGGTATTAGACAATAACGTCAAATGTTTATTGGCTGGCAGTGAGAAAACTAAAACCTGTTGCAACAGCAGTGTCTGAATCACTGTGAGCATTTGTGTGTGGCCATATAGCTCAGAGCCAGATGTTCATCTCTTAATCAAAGATATTGCACAGCATCATTATCATGGCAGCTCCTGCAGGCTGTTTCTCTGTTCCCGTGACAACGGCATCAATAAAAAGTAGTATATTTCCTACCAGTAGGGGGTGTTTGAAAAGAGGGTTAGTGGCACTGTGATTGGCTCAAACCCCCTTCAGAATGCCAAATCATACTTTTGCATGGCTTTTTCAGTGATTCAGAATGTGTGTGAAATGAAATGTGTGAAAACAGTCTTTCATCTCGTCTCTCCATAGGCTGTCATAACCAAGCACTCTCATGCTGCAATGACATCATTCCAAGATACCAGCTTCTCAGGTCTTAAGATGCATGTCGAATCAATGTCAACAGGCTGTAAATACAACCTTCAGCACTGCATGGCAAACACAGTGTTCTCCTCATCTGTCATTGGCTTAAAGCTTGAATCAGACTGGTCTTTCAATCCAAGATACACAGAAAGGAGACCCAAAAAAAAAAAAAAAGTTATTATGCTTAAATTTGAACTGTATTTTTTCCCCACTTTAATGAAGATTTCCTGATT